TTTGCCCTGGAAGGAAATTCCAGATAGGTCAGAGGAATCTTGCGGATCTCCAAACATCTTTCAATTCATAGGACTATTCCGGTACCTGCAGGACTGACCACAAAAGCTATCCAGGCTCTTCACCCAAGAGTTAACTTTTTGTTGCTAGGAAGGTTGTTGAGAGGACTCTAGTTTCTGCATCTGAGATGGAAAAGAAAATAAATTCAAACAATGAGAAGATGGTGGACTTAACCACTGAACAAAATTCATCCTTCTGGGAGTCTTTTTCTGAGCTGATAAAGGATTGTAACAGCAATAGCGAAAGCACTTAAGACTTATATACCGCTTCACTGTGCTTTATAGCCCTCTCTAAGCAGTTTTCGGAGTTAGCATAGTGTCCTGAAAAATTTGGGTCCTCATTTTACCGACCCCAGAAGGATGGAAGGCTGTCTCAACCTTGAATCAGTGAGAATTAAAACTGCTGAACTACTGGGAGGTGTCAATCAGCAGAAGTAGCCTGCAGTACTGCATTCTAAACTCTGGATATTTCTGTGTCTGTCTATCAATTGTGGTGAAAAATATGGTCCTAGCTTCCATCACGACATGGAATATTTTATATTGGAATATAAAATAAATGTTTTATATTTGGAGGATTTTCTCTTTCTTTTTCCCCCTCAAATAACATATTTGAGCTATAGATAGATAGACAGACAGACCTTTATTGTCATTTTTTACTGTGGGCACACTGGCACATATATCCTACACTGAGGGTTCATAAAGATGCCAGAAGTCAAGGCGCTTAAGAAGTGGGAATGGAATACAGAATTTTTACACATGTTTCTTGTACTTCATAGCGAGACATTTAGTCATTAGACATTCATTAAGGATGTTCCCCACTCTTGCCTTTAAGATAAATAGAAAGACAGATAACGTTTATTGCCATTTTTTACTGTGGGCCCAATGGCACACATTAAAAATGAAATTCTGTTGCTTGCTCTCAAAAGTGTACACATACATAAGACACATACTGTATGAACATGCTATATACCACATATGTATATACCTACACTCTTACATATAAATACATATAAATATTAATCATTGTCTATCTTGAATACATAGTGGAAGGAGGAAGCTTGAGAATGCACGAGATTAATACTGTATGGGACTGTATATTTGTATATCTGTAAGTAACTGGAGCCATAAAGAAAAGGAGGAAGTTCCAGAAATGGCTTATCCTAAGAAAAAAAAGTTTACCTTTTGTCAGAGGTCTTAGTGAGGAAAACGAAAAACAAAAACAAAAAAAAAACCCCAACCTGGAATAATAGTGAGTGAAATGATCCTGGGAAGGAACAAAATTCTAAGGTGCCATGAAGGTTGAGTTTACATCACATGAAATGCCAAAGAAAGGACTCTGGCTTAGGATGCTCACTTCCTGTTTTTCAGTGCTGGTTTTTGGGGAACAAAGTCACACTATAACACGAAGGCTGCTTCACACAATTTGCCCTGACTCCAAACTGGTTAACTGTACAGGAAAACTTTACATGAAACGCAGAGCTTGAAACAACACACTTGAAAATGATGTTCACCCACCCTCTTAAGCCTGGAGGATCTGATCCTAGTTTATTCTTTTCTCCAGTTGGATTTCCGGCAATCCTTCCCCTCCCCCCATGCAGTGACTCTCCCAAGAAATGGGGGGAACGGCCCCTCCCTTCTGGCGACCCCCATTTCTTTCCTTTGCTCCCCCCTCCGCCTGGTCAGTGCATGAGAAAGAGCGGCAGGGGAACATGGGATCCCGGATTCCCACCCCAAGGAAAGAGTTGGCCCGTCTCCATGCTCGCCTCCAGCGCGGGACCTCTTTCCAAGGGCAGAGCCGCCACTCACGGAACTTGGGACTCTCATTGGCATCGGCGTCCCTGCAAGGCTTCCCGGCATCCTCTGCGCCTCCCGCAAAGAGCCCGATCCAGGCTCACAGAAGGGAGAGGAAGCAGAAAGAGCCTCCACCCTTCAACGACGACCGTCCCAGTCAACACGTGACTTGTACTAAGTGGAAAAGCGCTGGGCATGCTCAGTTCCCTCCTGCTGCTGAGCGCGCCCCTGTTGGACTCGGCACGAAGTGCCAGGATTCCTCGAAAGGGCGGGAAAGTGGAGCTTTGTAGTGGGAGGGCAGGGATGATGGGCATGGGAGTAGTAGTAAAGGGGTCGGCGTCTCCAGAGGCGGCAGCTTCTCCATCTTCCTGTCCAGGAACCGTCTGTGGACATGGAGAGCAATCTCCCTTGAGGATTTGTACTCGCTTCCCTAAAGAACAACTGCCCTGAAAGCTCTGCAGAGATCGGAAAAACCTCAAAAAGACCCAAATCCTGTCAGAAACGGCCAGGCGGTCAGAAGATTTGGACCAGGAGCCTCTCTGGGAAACACAATTTGTGTCTTGCGGTTGTTGCGAACTCCAGCCTGAAGGGGAGTCAGATGGGACACAGGCAGGGAAGCCGCAACTGGGAAAATGGAGATTTTTCCTGTGATTCTGGTTCTCTGGTTCTTTATCTGCAGCTGCCCTTGTCCAAGTCTTGGCTCCTGGTGCCTCAGCATCACCCGGATGGTCAAATGGCTGCTCGTGCCCAAGGAAAGGATGCTGAGGCGAAAGAAAAAGCCACCCCAAAGTGGGGGGAAAGCTGAACCTGGTGGAAGTTCCAGAAATTTTACCTCACAATGAGGCTCCTCGGAGGGGAAATGAAGAGGGGGGGGAACGGGGGTCTCACCTGTGACTGCAGAAAAGGTGGAACTGCAAAAGGCTGGAAAGCAAAGATGGAATAGAGAACATAACATTAAAGCAAGACGAGGGACAAAAAAGAAGAGGAAATATGAGGAGGAAATTTAAGATCTTTGTATATGTCATTGACCCGTTGCAGCCTGGGTCTCAAGAGGAGGAAGAGTTGGAGCCCAGGCCAATGGAAGGGGATGGAGCAGTCCCTATGGCCCATGAGGAACGACCTGTGGACAGGCAATCCCTAGGGCCTCGAAAGAGTAGGCAGGGAGGAAGAGAGGGTGCAGGCTGACCGAGCAAGGGGTAAGATGGAAAGGGCAGGCAGCGGAGCGGAGGAGCTCCAGAGACAAGCAAATGCCTCCCCTGCCTGAGTGGAGAATGGAGAGGAGGCAGAGTCAGCACAGGGCAAACAGACAATGCAGGCAGAGGGCAACCTGCCCTTCCTCACGAGGTTCACCTGGAGAGTAGCATTTAAGAGGGGCTTTTGTCAACAAGTGTTTTTGATTGCACTCCCCTGGCTTTGATCAAGACCTTTTGTTTTGCTTCAAGTTGGACTATCCTTCTCTTGCCCTAGCCTTGAAGGCTTTGCTTTGGAACTGCTTTTGCCTTGGACTCCCCTTGCTTTATGGCCTGCTGTTTGTCTTGCCCCAGCCCTGAAGAAACTACCCTGAAAGACCTTGCCTTTGAAACTACCATTCTTATGCCTGGACTTTTCCTTTGTGTGCCCTGAGAATTACCCTTGTCTTATGCCTGAACTTTTGCCTTGCGGACGTGCCTGGTAAGCTATGGGCTGTTATTGTTGGGACTGAGGGTGGAGCCTTACTGATTGGTGGAGGGCCATTTGTTGAACCATTCCCAAGAGAAATAAAGAACTGTCTAGAGCAGACATGTCAAACTCGTGACATCATGTGACGTCGTGCAACGTATCAGGACAGTTTTGCCATTGCCGGCAATGGGGTGGGTGCAGCTTCCAGATGACTCGTCTGGCCCGCGGGCCCAGTTTTCACACCCCTGGTCTAGAGGCCTCCATAACCGTGACCACCTGGCTCATAACAGTAATAACACTATTACTACTACTAATAATAATAATAATAGTTGGAAGGGACCTTGGAGGCCTTCTAGTCCAACCCCCTACTCTGGAAGGAAACCCTTAAGATTTCAGAATATACTGAAGACAAGGAAGAAGATCTTACGGAACAGATTATAGAGTAATTAGTAGAAGTGTTAGAAATTAGGAAACAAGAAATGGAAGGAGAAATTGAGGGAGAAGTGGATTTTTTCAATGAATATAAATGGGTCGAACTCCCCCTCAGAAATATTCTGCCAAAATTGCTTTTCCTATTTCAAACACTATCCATAAAAATAGAGAAAAAATCTTTGATGATTTAAACATACTGATTTAGAAATATATTTGACAAAGGAAGAAAGCCACAATTAGATTAAAGAAAATGGAGGGTTTGGCTTGCCGGATGGGGTCTTATACTACCAAGCATGTGCTTTAACGTGGCTAAAACAATGGAAGACCCTTAGACATAAAAGATTATTATACTTAGAAGAATATGATTTACAACTAGAATGGCACACTTTTCTATAGTATAGGAAGAATAAAATTTATACATACTTCCAAAATCTCGTCATTCTGGCTCCTTTTTGTGCGAGAGGAACTCTTCATCCTGAAACTTTCCTCATCCTCAAATTAATGTCTATCTGATTATTCTCTCACATAATGACAGGATTTTTTTCCTTATAAATATTACATTATTTTTCTAGTTTACTGTCCAATACTTAATAAGCAGCTTATTATCTGGGTCCATTAGTAATTCAGTGGTATATATTAACTTTTTCAGTCTAGATCCAACATTACACCAACAAATATTTCCTCTCTTCCAGTAGTGTCTGTTTTCCCACACACTAGGCAAATACAAAGGAGGACTTTTGACTGAAATTTTTTTCCTGCTTCTGCATTCATACTTGTTGACTTAGGTCTTAGTTTTTCACAGTGGACATCCTCACATTCCAGAGGAAGTTTGCATTCTTGTTTCTTTCCTCTTTCAACATCTTGCAATTCATCATATAACTTCTACAGACAGCAATACAAACTTAACTGCAAAACAATTGCTATTTAAACCATTCTATTCATGGTATCTTCTATAGCAGGGGTTCCCAACCCCTGCTGTGTTGACCAGTACCGGGCCACAGCATGCCAACCGGTCTGCACAAACAAGCCAAAGCCCCACCCGCAGGATGCAGGCAGCACACAAAACCATGTCCCCTCCGTGGAAAAACCTCTCTCTAAGGAACCAGTCCCTGGTGCCCAAATGGTTGGGAACCTCTGTTCTATAGCATCACACTTATTTTGGTAATTCATATGTCGCTATAATATCTGCAACTCTTTTGTCAGACTGGCTAGTTTACTCCCCATGAAAGAATGACTCTTGATTCCATGGATGTTAGAGAAAAGATACTTTTACCTTTTACCCTTTACTGAGTGCAGTGTGAGCGAGGCAAGCTCTAAAGAAAAACTGCGTGAAAACTGTATATTGAAAGCAATCCCCAATGTCCAAATCCCTCCCCTTGGCCAGAACAGTCCAATCCAATCCCGGTCCAATGTTTTGGGAACCTGGTGCATCAGGAGTGGCTATAAATTCCTTTCGCAGGGCTAGTGTCCTTGAGGGCAGGCAGATGGCTCAGTCTGGCACCTCTGGTTCCTGTTAATGTCTTTGCTCCTCAAATTCTTATAATATTCTTTCACACCTCTAGCACTCTACCCCTGTGAAATGTCTTCCCTTAGTTATGGCAGTTGCTAGCAAGCTTCAAAGAAAGCAAAAATAGCCATCTGAAATCTTTCCTGATTTATGCATTTCCCATGCTATGCCTGGAATGATATTTTGCTAAGCCCTATGCTTGCTCTCAAAAATTAATTTTTATAGAACTTTTATTGGGGATTTGGGCTTTCCTTATTATGATCCATTGGAAATGGGATAAACGTGAAGAAAAAAAAGATGTTCTCTTTTTTTATGTGAAACGGCATTGGTGGCCTTCAAATGACAGTAGCTACACTGTTCATAATTAAAACACCAGATGCCTAGCATTTGGTTTCTATTAGTGAATTCATCTCTCTTGGGCTTCAAATTATGAAGGTCAGACTCAAAAAACCCCTTTCTTAATTCAGTAAATGAAATTAGGAAACACATATATTTTCAACAACTAAACCTAACATTAAACCGTCTCATCCAAATGTATGTTTATGGAACATTCAGCCATTGGTCCTCTTCAAGCCTTTTCCCTATTTCACAAATTTATAGGACTTCTACACTGTGTGAGTCCTTTTATGGGAGTTAAGATAACTGTTTGTAATAAAACTTTTTCCACACACCATACATTTATACGGCTTCTCCCCTGTGTGGATCCTTTTATGGATGTTAAGATAACTCTTCGTAGAAAAACTCTTTCCACATTCTATACATTTATAAGGCTTCCCCCCCATGTGAATCTTTTTATGGGAGTTGAGGTTAGTAGAGACAGAAAAGCATTTTCCACACTCCATGCATTTATATGGCTTCTCCCCTGTGTGGATCCTTTTATGGATGTTAAGATAACTCTTCGTAGAAAAACTCTTTCCACATTCTATACATTTATAAGGCTTCTCCCCCGTGTGAATCTTTTTGTGGGAGGTAAGGTTAATAGATACAGAAAAGCATTTTCCACACTCCATGCATTTATATGGCTTCTCCCCAGTATGTGTCCTGCTATGGTAAATAAGTAGGCAGTTCTTAATAAAGCTCTTTCCACACTCCATGCACTTATATGGTTTCTCCCCTGTGTGGATCCTTCTATGGAAAATAAGTTCACTGCTTTTATGGAAGCTCTTTCCATATTCCATGGATTTATAGGGCTTCTCCCCTATATGGATCCGGTAATGGGAAGTAAGAGAAGAACTAAAAGTAAAGCTTTTTCCACACCCAGTGCATTTATATGGCTTCTCCCCTGTGTGGATCCTTTTATGGGAAGTAAGACTGCTGCTCGTAGTAAAAGTCTTTTCACACTCCATGCATTTATATGGTTTCTCCCCTGTGTGGACTCGTTTATGAACAGTAAGAGAAGAATTGTGAGAGAAGCTCTTTCCACACTCTGTGCACTTAAATGGCTTCTCCCCTGTATGGATCCAGTGATGGGAAGTAAGAGAATTACTGTGAAAGAAGCACTTTCCACACTCCATGCATTTATAGGGCTTCTCCCCTGTGTGGATCCTTTTATGGAAAGTAAGAGTCTTTATGTGAGTAAAGTTCTTTCCACACTCCATGCATTTATATGGCTTCTCCCCTGTATGGATCCGGTAATGTGAAGTAAGAGAATTACTACAAGCGAAGCTCTTTCCACACTCAGTGCATTTATATGGCTTTTCCCCTGTATGGATCCGGTAATGCAAAGTAAGAGAAGAACTAAAAGTGAAGCTCTTTCCACACTCAGTGCATTTATATGGCTTCTCCTTTGTATGGATCCTTTTATGGGAAGTAAGACTGATTCTTTGAGTAAAGCTCTTTCCACACTCCATGCATTTATAGGGCTTCTCTCCTGTGTGGATCCTCTTATGATATGTAAGATGACCATTCCTAGTAAAGCTCTTTCCACAGTCCATGTATTTATATGGCTTCTCCCCTGTGTGGCTCCTTCTATGTGACCTAAGATGACTTTTAAAAATAAAGCTCTTTTCACACTCCATGCATTTATACGGCTTCTCCCCTGTATGGATCCAGTTATGCAAAGTAAGAGATTTACTACAAGCGAAGCTCTTTCCACACTCAGTGCATTTATATGGCTTTTCCCCTGTATGGATCCTTAAGTGAGAAGTAAGAGAATTACTACAAGTGAAGCACTTTCCACACTCCATGCATTTATAGGGCTTCTCCCCTGTGTGGATCCTTTTATGGAAAGTAAGAGTCTTTATGTGAGTAAAGTTCTTTCCACACTCCGTGCATTTATAAGGCATTTTCCCTTTGTGGATCGTTCCATGCATAAAAAGATTTCTGAGTGAGGTAAAGCACTTTCCACACTCTCTGCATTGGTAGGGCTTCTCTCTTGTGTGGATCTTTTTATAAGAAGTTAGTTGTCTGCTCTTAGTAAAGCTTTTCCCACACTCCATGGATTTATAGGTTTCCTCTGCTTTGTGGATCCTTTTATGGAAAATAAGTTGATTGTTCTTAACAAAGCTCTGTCCACGCTCCACGCATTTATAGGGCTTCTCTCCTGTGTGGGTCCTTTTTTGAGATGTATGGGACCCATTTTTATGAGGAAGAGACAAAGTCCATTTGTAATTATTTCCATTGTCTCTACATACATAATCTCCTCCTTCAGTTTGGGTTTGATAGAATTTATTTACATTTAATTTCTTTATGAATACCTTTATATGTTTTCCAATACATCTGTTTTTTATTTTTCCTTGTTGGGCCACAAGGGCTTTAGTCGGTGCATGAACAGAAGATGAATTTTCCCGATTGCAGTTATTTGCCTGGTTTCTCTCATGGCTTTCTTCTTCCATTAGAACTGCAGGACTCTTCCTATTGTACCCACGAGTGATCATTTGGAATAGTTCCCAGGAATCTTCATATTCTTCCCCATTACCTTCACAGGAAAATAAAAATAAAAATAACTTTAGAGAAAAAGAGCAAAGCATAGGAAGTTTGAATATAATGAAAAAACAAACAGCTTCAATCTTCTCAGAGAAGCCCTTTAAGAATTTAATCTGGATTTTCTTGATTAAAATTTTGGAGGTTAAATCAAGTTTTGTATGGCTAGGGCAAAACCACAGATTAAATTTCAAATTATCCAAAATTCGAAGAAAAGGGGAGGATTTGGTTTGCCCGATTTGAAATTGGACTTTATAGTCTGCTCTGTCGTTTGGATAAGAAATAGGAGTTGCTGAGAATTGTTATAACTAGAAGGGCATGACAGAGGTTTGTATACCATGCATCTTTGTGTTACGATAAATTTAGGCTCAATCTAGATTTTAAAACCATAACTTCAGAAATACCACATTGAGAATATGAAACAGATATAAAATCAGACTGTGTCCCAAAACATCATAATGACTCTTAGCAGAAAATAGAAGCAGGAAAAAAAAAGACAATGGATAACATGTCGAAAGTCATTATAATTTGAGCTGCAGGAATACCAAACTAAGTCAAGAATGGCAAAAGGATATAACTGTCAGTCGTTTTCATATTGTCAGAAAGATTCCAGGTAGATAGAGGGAACAACATAAAGCAGAATTTGAATCTCTGTTGTGTATAAACAATACGTAATTGTTAAAACCTTTAATCAGGCTGAGAAATATGAATAGACGAATATTCAGAAGTGTATAAATGTACCCAAAATAATATCAGAAATGTCGACAAGATAAAGGATCATTTTGTCGTGCTCTGGTGGACTTGTAAAAAAGCTAGAAAAGTTTGAATTCAAAGACGTTCAGTGATAATGAAAACTTGAAAGATTAATATCCAACTGTAATCACAACACTTTATGCTGGCACTAAGCAACAGTCATTGAACATTGTTTCTGAGCATGATAACCGTAATGAGACTATTATACACAAAAAGCTGGAAGGGCTCTTACCCAAAGAGACCACGTTCCTATGATTTTCCAGCATGACTTCCCAATGCAGCGCTTTTTGGTCGGCATCCAGCTGAGACCACTCCTCTTCGGAGAAATACACAGCCACCTCCTCAAAGGACACAAGGCCATTCTGAATGACAAGGAAACAGATCAAAAACGGGGAAGATTTTAAAGACCTGAAGTATTTTTTATGTGATTCCAAACAAAGATATACATTTTGAGGCCATTCAGTGAAGGGAATCCCACTTTTCACCTGGATCTTTCTGTCTGTCCCCATCCATCAACAAGACTTTCAGCATTTGGAGAGAATCAACTGGAATGGGCCTGGAACCCCCACCTATCACTCACTCCCATACACCCAGCGTTTGCAGAAGAAAATGCAGGTGGAGGTTTTTTTTACCATTTAAGTAAAAGAATTGTGGTGTTTTCAGAACACACAATCCTATCCATGCCCAAAACCTTCATTAAAGTTGTTTGAGAGCCACTCAGGGATTTACATGGGTATTATCAACAAAGGCACACAAGCCCTGTTTCCGCTGCTCCTCACATTACAAGGAATCCACTACTTGTACCCCAACCCAATGGCCGAAGAAGAGAAAGCTGCTTGGGAAGAGCATTTCTCATCCTTTCCAAAGCTGGATTGTTTGGTCCCAAATTCTAGGCACAAATTGCAGTATTAGAAATTACTTTAAAGGTTGAGGGGCCTTGATCTGCCCACCCCCTTTGGATTTTAATCGTCTGCTTCATCTTTTAACCTGGTGCCATTATTTTGTTATCATTGGTTATAAACAAGGCTTTTTAGAAGCTGTAAGGTGCCAATGTGATTCCTTCGGTTATTATTGAGTAGCCTTGCACAAGTCCACCTCAAACAATTAATAAAAGGATCACTATTCAGCAAACACTAACACTGAAAATGTTATTTCTTATCATCTCTTACTTGAGTTGGAGTTTCAACCACTCTTTCAGCACCACCATAGATAGGAGTCAAATTCGTTCTATTCTTCCCTGTGAGGGAGACAGAGTTTTTCAATGGATAATAAACAAAATAGCAGGAGGCATTCTACAGAATGGAAGATATAGAGAAAGAGAGCTGAGACCTTTCTTAGGAATAGGTGGATTTTTGATTACCATCTGAGATGTCCTGACTTGCGGCATCCTGAGAGATCCTCCTGAAAAGCAGCTCCAGGGGGAGATTTGATGGATTCCTGATTCTCATAGGATCTCTAGTCTGCAGAGGGAAAAACTTGAATAAGAAATTACACAACATGGATTCTTATTCTCTAAAAACAACTTCAATCCCACAATATCAATCAATGAGCCGAGAATGTAAGAAAGGAACAGCTGTCTCCAGTCTATCTTCTATAATGGATAATGGAACAATGTCCTGCAAGAACTAGTGAAATATCTCCACATATTACAAAGAGCAGAGAAGTGGGGAAGGGAGGGGTGAAAAATTCAAACACATTCTTTATTCCCTTCTGGACTTCCAAGGAGAAGGTCTCTCACCTGCAACTTGACTTGTTCCTTCTGCTCCTCTGCTTGACTCATGAGAAAGCCTTCCACCAGGGCCACCGCTTGGGAGCTGGTCTCTGCTCCACACTCCCGCAACCAGTTTTCCATCTGTGGGGGCAGAAGGGCCAGCAGCTGCTCCAGAACTACTAGATCCAACATTTGGGTTTCAGGGTGCATTTCTAGCCTCAGCCATTGACTATAAATATTGTGGAGTCGGCTGAAAAGTCCTTGGGGACTTTCCATTTCCTGGTATTGGATGTTTCTGAAGTTCCAGGGCTGAATCTCTGAACGGATGATGGTTTTCTCCTCCAGGAACTTCTGCCCAGTTTTTGCCCAGATCTTCCCACAACTGCCAGGCTCAACAGCAGAGGGGCCTTTTCCAGTTCCCTCACTTGCTAACGGTTGTTTCTGCATCCTTTGCCTGTCCTGGAAGGAAATTCCAGATAGGTCAGAGGAATCTTGTGGATCTCCAAACATCTTTCAATTCATAGGACTATTCCGGTAACTGCAGGACTGACTGCACTTCACCCAAGAGTTAACTTTTTGTTGCTAGGAAGGTTGTTGAGAGGACTCTAGTTTCTGCATCTGAGATGGAAAAGAAAATAAATTCAAAGAATGAGGTGGACTTAATCACTGAACAACATTCATCTTTATGGAAGGGAGTCTTTTTCTGAACTGGCAAAGGATTGCAATAGCAATAGTTCTTAGACTTATGTACTGCTTCACAGTGCTTTGCAGCCCTAAATGGTTTTCATAGTCAGCATATTGCCCTGAACAATCTGGGTCCTTATTTTACTGACCTCAGAAGGATGGAAGGCTGAGTCAACTTTGAGCAGTGAGAATTGAATTGCTGAACTACTGGCAGGTATCAATCAGCTGAAGTAGCCTGCAATACTGCATTCTAACCTCTGGGTATTTCTCTGTCTGTCTGTCCATCAAGTGTGGTTTTATATTTGTAGGATTTTCTATTTCTTTTTTTCCCGAAAGGGTAGGCTATGTTTTTTTCAAATTTAAGATCTACATATACCCTACGTTAGGGTTCATAAAGGTTCCAGAACTCAAAGAGCTTAAGAAACTGGAATGGAATACAGAATTTTTACATGTTTCTTGTGCTTCATGTTGAGACATTTAGTTATTAGACATTAATTAAGTATGTTCCCCACTCTTGTCTTTAAGATAAATAGAAAGATACCGTATTTTTCCGTGTATGCTATTTTTTCCTGCAAACACCCTGTTCAAAAATTATACAAGTGCAGCGTCTTATACACAGAAAAATAATGGTAACCTCTGCAGCCCAGGGTATGCCTGTGTGGGTTGCCATGCCGCCTGGTACAGTGTCAGGCCCCTGTGGGCTTGCCACTAACGGGAGGGGGGAGAGGGCAAGATCGCCGGCCAGCCGAACATCCAGATTCGCAGGCTCAGCTGTTCAGCGCTGTGCCAAACAGCTGATCGGTGCGGAGAAACTTGCATGCCACAGCATCTTATACAAGGGTGCATCTTATAGGCGGAAAAATACAGTAGATATCCTTTTGTCATTTTATGTACACATACATAACACACATATAAACATGCTATATACAGCATATGTATATACCTACACCCTTACATATAAATAGATATAAATGTTAATCACTGTCCATCTTGAATACATAGTGGAAGGAGGAAGCTTGAGAATTCACAAGATTAATACCTTATGGGACTGTAAGGAGGTCATCAAGTCCAACCCCCTCCTCAGGCAGGAAACCCTATACCCATTTCGGACAAATGGCTGTCCAGTCTCTTCTTAAAACCTTTCAGTGTTTGAGCATTCACAACTTCTGGAGGCAGGTTGTTTCACTGGTTAATTGTTCTAACTGTCAGGAAATTTCTCCTTAGTTCTAGGTTGCTTCTCTCTTTGGTTAGTTTCCATCCATTGCTTCTTGTTCTGCCTTCAGGTGCTTTGAAAAATAGTTGACTCCCTCTTCTTTGTGGCAACCCCTGAGATATTGGAACACTGCTATGATGTCCCCCCTCGTCCTTCTCTTCATTAAACTAGACATGGGGTCGGCAACCTTGGCTCTTTTATGACTCATGGACTTCAACTCCCAGAATTCCTGAGCCAGCATGGCTGGCTCAGGAATTCTGGGAGTTGAAGTCGATGAGTCATAAAAGAGACAAGGTTGCCTACCCCTGAACTAAACATACCCAATTCCAGCAACCATTCTTTATATGTTTTAACCTCCAGTCTGGTAATCGTCTTTGTTGCTCTTTTCTGTACTCTTTCTAGAGTCTCAACATTTTTTTTAACATTGTGGTGACCAAAACTGGATGCAGTATTCCAGGTGTGGCCTTACAAAGACATTGTAAAGTGGTATTAACACTTCATGTGATCTTGATTCTATCCCTCTTGTTAATGCAGCCTAGCACTGTGTTGGCTTTTTTGGCAGCTGCAGCACATGGCTAACTCATTTAAGTGATTGTCCACTAGGACTCCGAGATCCCTCTCATAGTTACTACTATTGGACAAGGTACCACCTATACTATACCTGTGCATTTGGTTTTTCTTGCCTAAATGTAGATTCTTACTTTCTTCACTATTGAATTTCAGTTTGTTAGATAGCACCCAATGTTCCAGTCTGTCCAGATCCTCCTGTATCCTAAGCCTGTCTTCTGGAGTGTTGGCTATTCCAGCCAGCTTGCTGTCGTCTGCAAATTTGATGAGTTCCCCATCTATCCCCTCATCCAAATCATTGATGAAGATGTTGAAGAGCCCTGGGTCCAGAACAGAGCTCTGGAGCACCCCACTACACACTTCTCTCAAGGTAGATGCAGTTCCATTGAGGACCACACAATGAGTATGGCCGATCAGCCAGCTACGAATTGCATCCTGCTGGGACCTAGTCACCCCAGAGAGGCCACAAAGAAGGAGGGGACCCTTGTAGATCACGGTGAGATGTGGTCCAGCCGTTCGATCCGAGGAAGCCCTCTGAACTAACAGGTAAAAGATTGGCTGCAATCCAGTGGCCAGTCAGAAGCTACCAACGGCCAGGAAAAAAAACCCACTATTCAGCAGTTTAAGCAACGCATTTGGAACTGGGTGTGAATATTTTTCCTGCTCTACAATTTTAAAAATTTTCCCTGAGGAAAAGAATCCCAAAAAGCAAGGCTCCCAGAAGCAAGAAGATGGAGGGGGGAGGGGTTTCCTTGGTGCCCCTCCCCCTAGCCTAGCAGAACAGCGGTGGTTCAATATTTTTGGGGAGAAAGCAGATAGATTATAAAACTAATTTGGAAATAATTTCCTCACTGTTTCTAGACGGCCTTGTGGAGCTAAGACTGAATGCGTTTCAGCATAGATGGCCACCACAAAATTGTACATTGTCGGCCGGCCTGGGCCAGGGCCAAGGCAGTGGGGGCCATTCCCTCACTGTTTCCAGGATGGCTTCGCGGGCCACATGAAACCACTTCGTGGGCCGCATCTTTCCCCCGGGCCTTGTGTTTGACATGTCTGCTCTAGAAGAACAGCGGTGGTTCAATATTTTTGGGGAGAAAGCAGATAGATTATAAAACTAATTTGGAAATAATTTAAAGTTGCAACACTGAAAAATTTGGGAGACTTAAAATATTTTGAAAACTTTATCCTTTTTTTTGAAAAATATCAGATTGAATCTTTGAGAAACAAGGCCTGGTTGAAAAACACACATTTACTGAATCTAGTGGTGACAAAAGGAACAGCACTAAGACCTTGCTTTGCACGTTGCTTGGAAGGACTGACCTTGCCTTGAAGCCCAAACAGAGATAGCAACTAGACTCTTTGATGTGCCTGAACTTCTCAGCCTTTCAGATTGCAGCTGGAAAAGGATAAAAAAAAACCTCTTTGGGCTGAATACGGCCGGTCAGCCAACTACAAATCCATCTGGTGGTGATGCTGTCTAACCCACATTTTTCTATCTTATCAAGTAGTAGGTTGCGATCTACTTTACCAAATGCCTTACTGAAGTTTACCTTTTGCAGAGGGGTCTTAGTGAGGAAAAGGATCCCCAGCCTGGAATAATACTGAGTGAAATGATCCTGGGAAGGAACAACATTCTAACAATGGCAGGAAGGTTGAGTTCACATCACATGAAATGACAAGGAAATGACCCTGGCTTCCTGTTTTTTCAGCGCTGTTTTTTTTTTGGAACAAAGACATGCTATAACATGACGATTGTTGAGATGATTCTATTTCTGCATCTGAGATGCAAAAGAAAATAAACTGAAAAAACGAGAAGGCGGTGGACTTAACTATTGAACAACATTCCTCCTCATGAAAGGGAAGCTGGTAAAGGATTGCAGTGGTATTGAACAGATGGATCCTCTGGGTATTTATGTTTCTGTCTGTCCAGCAAGTGTGGTGTGAAATATGGTCCTTGCTTACATCAACACATGGAATATTTCATATTGGATTATAAAGCAAATCTTTTATATTTGGGTAAAAAGGAAATACAAAATCCTCCAAAGTGTAGGCTAGCTGTTTTTCAAATTTAAGATCATATATATTCTACACTTAGGGATCATACAAGATGCCAGAACTCAAGGGGCTTATTAAACTGGAATGGAATACAGAAATTGGACACTTTCTTGTGCTTGATATTGAGACATTTAGGCATTAGACATTCATTAAGGATGTTCCCCACTCTTGTCTTTAAGTTTGTATGTTTGTAAGTAACTGGAGCCAGAGAAGAGGTAAGGAGGAAATTCCAAAAATGGCTTATCCCAAGAAAGAAAACTTTATCTTTCCTCAGGGGTCTTAGTGAGGAAAAGGAAGAAGACCCTAACATGGAATAATACTGAGGGAAAAGATTCTGAGAAGGAACAACTTTCAAACAATGCCATGAAGGTTGTGTTCACATCAAATGAAAGGCAAAAGAAATGATCCTGGTTTAGGATGCTCACTTTCTATTTTTCAGCACTTGCTTTTTGGGAACATACTATAACACAGTGTTTCTCAACCTTGACAATTTTAAGGCATGTGGACTTCAACTTCCAGAATTCCACAGCCAGCATTGCTGGCTGTGGAATTCTGGGAGTTGAAGTCCACATGCCTTAAAATTGTCAAGGTTGAGAAACACTACTATAACACAAAGGCTGCTCCACACAATTTGCCCTGATTCCAACCACATAAGCAAAGTTCACATGAAACACAGGGCTTGAAAGAATACACCCTAAAGTGATGTTCATCCACGTTCTTAAGCGGGGAGGATCTGATCTTAGTTTACTCTTTGTCTTCAGAATAAACACTAAAGATTTGCAGTTTACATATCCAAAATGGAAAACCAAAGAAAGTACCAAGAAAACAGGGTGTCTAATTGAACTAGCGAAAATCCATCCCCAAAGAAAAAATAACAAGAAGAAAATCTTATAAAACCACTAAAGTCAGGAAAGAAAGTGGGGAATCCTGTTACGTACTTTAACGTCTGTGCAGCTGGGGCATATTCTGACAAATCCTTCTTGATCAACTTCTATCAAAGACTCAAAATATATTTAAAATATGTTCTGGGTTTCTGTTTCCTTGTTATTTATTCTAATGATTTCAAAAGAAAGTTGGAGTTAAGAACAATCCTACAAACAAGAAATGTCTCAAGTCACAAAACCGCAAGTGAGATGAGATCTACCGCATATCAATCAATTTAATGAGAATATGAATCAACATTTGAACTTACAGTAAAACTTTAGACAGCAGAACCCCATTAATCAGTCTGGTCCAAACCCCTTTGAGAACTTCAGAAGCCTGAATTAACAAGCCACCATCCGATACACATAGGACGAACAGCCAAATGAATGAAGCATTGACAGCCTAAGATGAGCTTCTGATTCATGCAACTCCGACAAACACGTTCCCCACTTCTTAGCCTAATCCACGCTTTTCCAAAGATGGACAAATGAAGATAAATATGGACTTCAACTCCCAGGCTTGAAAGAGGTTTGGGAAACACCAGCCCAACCGGGCATCGGGTGCTAATGCTGCATCTCAGCATTCTCTCCCTTCTGTCTGCCGGCAGAGCCCCTTTGAAGTTGTGGGGAGAGGCGGAGTTAGCAGCACCCCAGTCCCGGTCCTCCCACCCGGGGCCGGCAGAGGGACTTCGGACAAGCCTCCCCCTCCCCCCCATGCAGAGGTTTCCCCCAGGAAATGGGGGGAAACGGCCCCTCCCTTCTGCCGACCCCTATTTCTCTCCTTTGTTCCCCCCTCCGCCCGGTCAAAGCATGGGAAAGAGCGGCAGGGCAACATGGGACCCCGGACTCCCACCCCGGGGGAAGACTTGGCCCGTCTCCACGCTCGCCTCCAGCGCGGGACCCCTTTGCACGGGAAGAAACGCCACTCACTGAACTCGGGAGCGTTGTCGGGATCCGCGTCTTGCACGGCTTCGCGGCAGCCTCTGCGCCTCCCGATCCAGGCTCACAGAGGGGGAGAGGAAGCACATAGGGCAGACGCGCTTCCCTCCTCTTCCGACGAAAGCCCAAGTCGACACGTGAGCTGCGGTAGCGGAAAAGCGGCGGGCATGTTCGGTTTCCTCCTGCAAGCTGAGCGCGCCCCCTGGTGGACTCTGCGCGAAGTGCTAGGAATCTCCGAAAGAGCGGGAAAGAGGAGCGTAGGTTTAACACCCCTTAACATCCATAGAATTTAAGGTAACCGGGATGTGTCTAGAAGAGCATGAATAAAAAGAAAAGGACAATGGTTTTCTAATCTTGTATAATTGCCACTCTGATTTCTATTTCTCTAATGAAAAATTTGGACAACAACAGACAGAAAACTGGAATTGGAGCATTTTCTCCATTTTGACAGAATCATCTGGGGTAATATTTGAATAAATCGCTTCAACTCAGCAGGAGCCTCTGAAACTCTGAACATTGTTCCCCACCCAAATCCTTCCCCCCAAAATGCCTGTTAGTAATTATTAGGGCTTTTATTATTATTGCACTATAAGCAGATGCAAAGAGAATGAGATGGCTGGATGGAGTCACTGAAGCAGTAGGTGTGAATTTAAATGGACTCCAGAAGATGGTAGAAGACAGGAAGACCTGGAGGAATGTTGTCCATGGGGTCGCGATGGGTCGGACACGACTTCGCAGTTAACAACAACAACAAGCAGATGCAAAGACATTTGTTTTTCCCACAAAAACATTTATTAGACATACTTAAAACTCCGACTCCTTACTTGTAAAGTTAACTTTTGCTTGCTTATTTTACTCTCTTCCTATTATCACAGCTTTGCAACTATTTCTATCTTATTTGATCTATCTATTTCTATGTCTGTCTTCTTTCTCTCTGTTTGTATATGAAAAGCCTTTTCGCTGCACTGTAGATTTGTCAAGCAAGGTACTTTTTCTTTTATTTTGTTGTTGTTGTTGTTAATTGCGAAGTCGTGTCCGACCCATCACGACCCCATGAACAACATTCCTCCAGGTCTTCCTGTCCTCTACCATCTTCTGGAGTCCATTTAAGTTCACACCTACTGCTTCAGTGATTCCATCCAGCCATCTCATTCTCTGTCGTCCCCTTCTTCTATTGCCCTCAATCTTTCCCAGCATGAGGCCCTTCTCCAGTGAGTCCTTCCTTCTCATTAGGTGGCCAAAGTATTTGAGTTTCAACTTCAGGATCTGGCCTTCTAAAGAGCAGTCGGGGTTGATCTCTTCTAGGACTGACCGGTTTGAACGCCTTGCAGTCCAAGAGACTCGCAGGAGTCTTCTCCAGCACCAGAGTTCAATAGTTTATTAATTTTCTATTTTTACAGTCAAGTTCTTAATAGACAATGTGATGACTGAGTCCATTAGTAATTCCATGATACATATAAGCTTCTTCAAACTAAATCCTGACAGTTAGAACAATTAACCAGTGGAACAACCTGTCTCCAGAAGCAGTGAATGCTCCAACACCGGAAGTTTTTAAGAAGAGACTGGACAGCCATTTGTCTGAAATGATATAGGGCAGTGATGGTGAACCGTTTAGAGACCGAGTGCCCAAACTGCAACCCAAAGCCCACTTATGCATCGTCAAGTGCCAGGTGGGTGTGGCCCACTGGCTGGGCATGGCCCATTGGCTGGGCGTGGCTGCAGTGATAACGGCAGACTGGGTGGGACTAAAAAGTTCAATCAATCAATTCCAACTTTGCAAGATCTTTTTTTTTCCCACGAGAACTTGAAATTGACTGATTGATTGAACCTTTTTTTTTTTTTTTGCACATGGCGGCGGAGGCCTAAAGTGAAAAAGTTTTATAAAACACAGCTGAAGGCCTAGGACTGGGGCGATGGTGCGCGTGCCCACAGAGAGGGCTCTGAGTGCCGCCTCTGGCACCCATGCCATAGGTTTGCCACCACTGGTATAGGGTTTCCTGCCTGAGCAGGGGGTTGGACTAGATGACCTCCAAAGTCCCTTCCAACTGTATTATTATTAAATTTGTTAGTTTTCTAATAGTATCAATAATATCAGTTTAGAATATTTGTTCTAACCAAAACATATCTTAACTGCATTTGCACTCAATATCCATTTATACAATCTGTATCCTATTTTGCTTTTTTCAATTTTAATTTCCCATCCATGTTCCAAATATCCCAATCATTTATAATTTCAAAACAAGTTATATTTGGGTAACCAAAAGCTTCCCTTATTCAAACTTCTTAGCATTCTTATTTCCCTTTTCATACCAATATATAATATTCTGTTTAGAAATCTTATCTATCTAGTTATAATAATACTTCTATTTCTAGCAATCCATTCTTAACCATATTCAAACATCTAATTAATAATATAACATCCCCTCTAATAGGTCAAAGCTTCTGTTTTCTTCAGTCTTATTCTAGCTTTCTTCCTTTGCCAATTAACTTTCCAAGTCACTGCATTTGGATCAAATAATTCTTCCTCTATTTTTGTGTATATTATTTGGAACAAGAGAAACAATTCAATTAAAGTATTTCTGGAAGAACTAGTCCATTGATATTCATTAAACAGCCTCCCTCTTTCTCCAGTTCCCTACAGTTCTGTTAATGGCTCTATCTTCTATTCCATCGGGTCTCCTTCCTTATCCTCCAGCATGCTTTGAAATCTTGGTTGGTGAAATGTCTTTTCCATTTCCAATATTATCGTTATGTCTTCTATGTCTTCATTTGTCTGGGTCTGGCTGTTAGTTTCTTCCTTTAGATCCTCCATATTTGAATCAATATTATCTAGTTTTCCTAGTTACTTCTCTGTAGATATTTTCTGAGTTTGTAGATTTAAATTAGAAAATTGTTATTTCATCTCCTTTATTATTTTTAATCTCATCACGAGCTAAGGTAATTGTTTCTTGTATTAATTTCAACATGGAGAGAATTTCTTTTTGTGATTCATCAGTATTTTCTTGTGGTATATCAAACTGAGGCTTCTGGAGACAGATATTATGGATGGCTTTTTACCATTTAGAGCAGTGGTTCTCAACCTTTCTAATGCCGTGACCCCATAATACAGTTCCCCATGTTGTGGTGACCCCCAAGTGGGTGTGGCCACCAATAAGAGGGAGTAGGACAGCTAGGGAAAAGGGAAAAAAATGGCAGACAGCGTGGTTTGGCGACCCCCGTGAAATGGTCGTTCGACCCCAAATGGGGTCCCGACCCACAGGTTGAGAACCACTGATTTAGAGCTATGTATGGAACATCCATTTTAATTTCTGTAAGTGACCTCTATAGAAATCTGTTTAAGAGTTTAGAAAGTTTAAGTTGTCATTGGAGCTCCAGATTATCCAACCAATTTATCAATCCATTCTTAAACCTCCCCTAAGTAAATATAAGTAAAATTCAAATTTTTCTGTCCAATGAGAAATATACCCTTTCTGTCCAGGGAGAAATAAAAACCATTAAAGGTTGTTTATCAATCAAGATTTATAATCCAAAATGTTCCATCATATCAGGCAACAGTGTATGTTTCTTCTACAGGAAAATAGTTCCACAATACAGTTCTGAAAGTCAGTATTTGTGCTCATAGTTCAGACAGGCCAATTCTACTGTCAATAAGGCTGGCTCACATGAGCGAGCAGCACACCTGTGTCTTCTTCAGAGCAATCCTGCTTTGTGTCTCCACTTTCTTCATTTCGGACGGAGTGGAAAAACTGAAGCTGGTGCCGCCGCTTCACTGGGGAGAAGCCCAAGGAGAAGAGCAGTCAAGATTTCTGCCACCGGCTGGACAGACAAGGAGTAGGTGGGACAGAGTGGCTGGCTGGCTGGGGAGATCGTAGCCGCTCAGGTGGCTGTTACCACCACCGCCAGCAGCTTGGGCGCAGGTACAAGGGGATTCACCCTGCGATGCCTCCCCGCTCAGTTGAAGGCTTCGTTCCTGCCCTCCAACTAAGGCTGGCACACATGAACGAGCAGCACAAACGGACCACTGACGATATTGGTTCCTGCATCTGGCCGACTCCAATTCCATGCTTTGCCCCCTAGGCTTGCAAATGAGGCAGACACTCCCCCCCCATCAGAATGGAAGCTTCCGGGGGAGCATGACCTCTTTTGCAGAGAATTTGTGTTTGAACTTGCACGATATTATGGCACCAAGGAGCCTCCATTGTCAGTGTGAAAATCATTTCCAAACCGACTCGACTCTCCCTCAAAGGGAAAGAATCCACGGCCAAAACAGATTTGGCAAGGTGAGTCTGGCACAGCAAGAAGGGAGTGGGAAGCATGGTTTCTTACTGGGTTGGGGAGGCTTGGGGGCCTGTTCCATCACTAGCCCCCATGCCCTTTCCCACTGTGAGATACCTCATGTGCACTCGCATGTGTCTTAACGAGCATGGGAGTGATCTTGTTCGAGTACGAGATTCATTCTGTGTTTTCGAGTTACGCGTGAAATATGCAGGCTCCATTATATTCGTAACTCGAGGACTACCTGTATGGTCTACCGGTGGTACGTGTTCTTTTTTCTATTCTTTTTTTCTATTTTTGCTGCTTTTTCTGCAGCTGCAAGAATTCTATCCAGGGAGGAAATACAATGCTTGCTCATGTTATTTGTCCTACAACTGACATGATGCATTCTGTTTGTGTAAGAGATTTGGGGTTGTATTCTTAAATATTGAAGAATGAAGCTGCCAGAGAGACTTAATAGTGCCTACATGTAAAAAAAACAAACAAACGAAAGTTTTGTAAAGGCTGAGTTTCCAAAGAGCCACATTTTGCATAGCCCCAAGGCTATGCAAAATGTATATAGTAAATATATACCCTATGATTTGGTAGGTGGATTTAATTATGTTTCTTTCCGGCGCTGATCCTGGCACTTCCGCTGAGCCCTGACAGTCTGAAGGAAGGAAGGAAAGAAGGAGGGACGGAGGGACATCCCGCCCCCGATGGTAACCACAATGTTAACGTGGCTCTCAATGAAATTGAGTTTGATACCCCTGATATAAAAGTTTGTTAAGTGAATCTGGTTTCATCATTGACTTTGCTTGTCAGGTTGCAAAAGGGGATCACATGACCCCAGGACACTATGACCGTCATAAATATGAATTAGTTGCCAAGCATCTGAATGTAAATCATTTGATCTTGAAGACGCTGAAACGGTCATAATTGTGAAAAATGGTCATAAGTCGTTTTTTTCAGTGCTGCTGTAACTTCGAACAGTCACTAAGCAAACTGTTGTAAGTTGAGGACTACCTGTATTTTATCACTTTTTTCCTTTTATTTTTTTGGGTCAAGTTTTTGACACCTTGCTAATTGACAGGTGCTATTTGGATATTACTATATCCTAAAAGTGGTACAATGGATGAAAAGATTGAAAAGCCCTGGTCTAATACTCAGAAAGTCTTTTGCACATGCATTTCAGGGACTTCTTGTCATTCTGTCTCCTTTTTGTGGAAGAAGAACTCTTTTTTTTTTTTTCAAAATAATTTTTATTAGTTTTCCATTTTACACCAACCCATCTTAAGAACTCACGTGAAAACACGGTGGTCCATTTTTTTTAAACAAAACACACAATAACATAGTAAATATATACCCATTATTTCTTAAACATTTCCCTCACTATCTATATAGAATATTATAAAGAAGTTAATACATTTCAAATAAATTCATTCATTACTATGTCTAACCATCAATTGCATTAATCAATAAAAAGTTTTTATTCTATAGAGACCTATTTTTCTTCACATATTTAAACTTAAGCTTTATAAACTCCATTTCTTTAAAAACATTATAATCTAATCAATGTCTTTCTAAAACCAATTCATTCAATAATATAGCATTTCATTCAAACTATAAAATTAAAAATCAACTAAAATTCTCTGTTATTATAAATTAATTAAAACAATTCTAAAACAAATTTCCATTAAATATATCACTCTATATAAATTTCATTAATCATTAAAAATTTATAAACTCATTATATCCCAAAGATCCTGTATCATGCTTTCTTAATTTTACGAATATTTAATCTTAAACTAGCGTGTTCATTTACTTTTCAGGTGCCCCAAGTGATTTTTTATTTAAGCATTATTAATTCCAAAGATAAATTCTAATCTTTCTCACCAATCTTCTATTATTTTTCACTGTTTCTCCAAATCTCCAATAATTAATTCTATCATTTCCTATATTTCAAATCTTTTCTCATTGTACCATCTCTATTATTAAAAGCATGTTAAACCCTTTTAACAAAGTCCAAAACCAAAACAATCCAAATCACTATAAGGCCTTTACCACATTACTATAATCAAATTTAATATTTGTATCTTATTCTAGGTTTCCTTCTAATCCAGTGGTTCTCAACCTTTCTAATGCCGCGACCCCATAATACAGTTCCCCAGGTTGTGGTGACCCCCAACCACTTATACATCTCCGGGTGCCAGGGGTGTGGCCAAAGAAAAGGGGGAAAAAATGGTGGACAGCCTAGTTTGGCGACCCCTATGAAATGGTCATTCGACCCCAAATGGGGTCCCGACCCACAGGTTGAGAACCACTGTTCTAATCCAAACAGGTTTCCATAATTGGGCCTCCGCCTGCCACGCTCTACACTCCAAAAAGAAAACTCCCCTTATACATTTTGTAAAATTAGTGTAAAAGTTATACTTAATCTGAATGGCTCGTAACAGAACATCCTTTGCCCTTTTTTTTAACATTAAATATATTTCACTTAAAATCCTTTCTTTTGTATCATCCTCTTTGGTCACATGTTTCTCTTCTTCCCATGTTTTTTTCTTTGTCTCAGATTCAAATGGGATCCACAGTCCAACTTGTCCTTCTGAGGCAAGATCATCCAGTTCCATATCATAAGTCTTTTGTCCACTGACATCAAGTTTTTTTTCCAAAATTAATTGATTGTCCAACTGTGGGTTTATTTCTTCCACCTTAGCAAACAGGGCACAAGCCTCTTGTGTATAAACTGATGTTTCACTTAGTCCTTGCCTTTTACTTTGTCGAAACAAAGAGATCTCCTTTGAACAAGCAATTATCTTCTCCGTGTTTTCCCAGATTTTTTCCAAGATATAAGTAAGATTTACACTGGTTTCCTCCATCTTTCTTATCTTTCAAATCCTTATCCTTTTAAAGGAGACTATATTTAAGAAACAATCACAATATCCGTCTCCTCCCAGTTTCCACGCCTTTTTCCTTTGTACAAAATGAAAGACTTTCCAGCGAAAATAACAAGTACAATGAGTAAATTTGTCAAAGAGTGTCTCTCAGAAAGTACTCAAATGTTCAATCCGTCCAGACACCATAAAGATAGAAACAAACAATATTCTCCAAGCGTTATAAAAAATTTTCTTGAGGCTCCCAGTATCCAAAAATAAAATCAATAATTAAAAGCAAAATAGAATTAATCCTTTGTGCTTCTCTTCCCCCATTTAAAAAGCCACTTCACTGGGAAAGGGAATAATTCCAAACAAAAAAAAAAAAAGAACTTTTCACAGGCAACAGAAGATAGGGGTAAAAGGAAAAGTCTCACCAAGTTCTCCCCGGGGGGTCCGTTTGCTTAGTTGATATTGTGGCTTGCGGTTGGCGCAGCTAAATAATCGGCCATTTTACTGGCTGATCTTTACCCTGTCGGCCCAAAGAAGATACTCGATGCACATAGGACGTTGCCGCTCCTCTACAACATCCAAGAAGCCTCCTCAACGGTAGACACTCCTCCAGAGCGTCTTTTTGACCCTCTAAGGGGTCTACCGGCAGGGGAAACTCAATCGGCAAAGGGACGACTCCCTTCACTTGACCACACTGCCACGAATTGGAACCGGAAGCCCTGGAAGAGGAACACTTCATCCTGAAACTTTCTTCATCCTCAAATTAGTATCTATATGATTATTCTCTCACATCATGTGGAGTTTTGACCGAAAAAAGTTCCCTGCTTCTGCAGTCATACTGATTGACTTAAATTCAGTTTTTCACAGTGTACCTCCTCATATTCCAGAGGAAGTTTGCATTCTCATTTCCGCTATAGAGGAAGAAAGATTTAAAGTTTTGACTTGAACAGATGCATCAGGGAGATGCAGCTCCTTCTGCTTCTAGCACAGTGGTTCTCAACCTTTTTAATGCCGCGACCCCCAACCGGTCGTAAGTCAAGGACTACCCAACTGGTCGTAAGTCAAGGACTATCCAACCGGTCGTAAGTCGAGGACTTTCCCTGCCTGGGAGCACTGCGCATGTGTGGTGCTGCCCGTGCCAGCCGAGGCATAGCTGGCAAGCGGCAGAGACGGAGCAGGCCGACCACCAACTGGGCCATCAGCTGGCCCAGCCCAAGGGAGGTAAGGCACTCGCCAGGCCCCACATGCGCCAGCAACCCTCCCTGCGCCCGCCGGCCTCTCAACTCCCACCCCTGGCCGTCTTTTACTTACATTTTTAGTAGTTGCTCAGCAGGGAGGGGTGGAAGCTTCCAGACAGCTTGCCTTCGCTGCAGACAACTTGCAGCACTGTCTGCAGACTGGGGCTTTTGGCGGGCTCAGCAGGGCAGAGACAGCCTGAACAATTCCTATTGGCTTTTGAAAGCCAATAGAATTAGACTCTATTCAAGAGAGCCTATTCTATTGGCTTTCAAAAGCCAATAGAATAAAAGGGAGTAGCACAGCTAAGGAAAAGGGGAAAAAATGGCGGACTGCGTTGTTTGGCGACCCCCATGAAATGGTCGTTCAATCCCAAATGGGGTCCCGACTCATAGGTTGAGAACCGCTGTTCTAGCAGAAGCCACACCTATTAAATGTCTGCCTGATCACATCACTCTTAGAGCAATCACTTTCCAGCTCAATACTGGGATACATTCTCAGCTGAGCCCCTTGTCCACACTGAATACACTGAGGTAGGGATTGTAAATCCAGTAGCATTAAGTATAAATTAGAGGCTCTGATGTTACACTGTCACCAGATTTTTCCTTTTTGAACATTCTTGTAATTTAGCACAATATCCCAAGACGTTTCCAGTTTCAACATCTTAGAATTCATTATATAACTTCTACTGACAGCTATACAAAGCTTAGGTGCAAAACAATTGCTACTTAAACTGCTCTATTCATAAAGTATCTTCTTTAGCATCACATTTACTTTGTCATTTATATTTACTTATAGCTTCTGCAAGTCTTTCCTGATTTATGTCTTTCCCATAGTATGCCTGAAAATAAATTTTATTGGAGATTTGTGCTTTATAATCGAAAATAGGATAAACATGAAGAAAAAAGATGTTCTCTTATTTATTTGAAATGGCATAACCTTCAAATGACACCAGCTACAAAAATCCATTCCTCATGATTAAAACACCACATGCCTAGCATTTGGTTTCCATCTGTATATTCATCTCTCTTGGGCTTCACGTTGTGTCGGTCAGACTCAAAAAACCCTTTCCTAATTCAATAAATTAGAAAATGCATATATTTCAACAACTAAGCATAACAATGAAACAGAATTATATGGAACATTCGGCCATTGGTCCCCTTGAAGTTTTTTTCTTATTTCACAGACTTACAGAGATTCTACACTGTGTGGGTCCTTTTATGGTAGTTAAGATAACTGTTCAAAATAAAACTCTTTCCACATTCCATGCATTTATAAGGCCTTTCCTTTGTGTGGATCATTTCATGCATGGAAAGATTTCTGAGTGACCTCAAGCATTTTCCACACTCTGTGCATTCATATGTCTTCTCTCTTGTGTGGATCCTTTTATGTGAAGCAAGTCTTCTACTGTTCCTAAAGCTGTTTCCACACTCCATGCATTTATAGGGCTTCTCCCCAGTATGGGTCCTTTTATGGGTGTTAAGATGACTGCTGGTAGAAAAACTCTTTCCACATTCCATGCATTTATAAGGCTTCTCCCCTAAGTGGATCTTTTTATGGATGTTAAGATACCTCTTTGTAGAAAAACTCTTTCCAAATTCCATGCATTTATAGGGCTTCTCCCCTGAGTGGAACTTTTTATGGGTGGTAAGATAACTCTTCGTAGAAAAACTCTTTCCACATTCCATACATTTATAAGGCTTCTCCCCTGTATGGATCCTTTTATGGGAAGTAAGACTGCCGCTCGTCGTAAAGCTCTTTCCACACTCCATGCATTTATATGGCTTCTCCCCTGTATGGATCCGATAATGCGAAGTAAGAGCAGTACTAAAAGAGAAGCTCTTTCCACAGTCCATGCATTTATAAGGCTTCTCCCCTGTATGGACTCTTAAGTGTGAAGTAAGAGAAGAACTAGAAGTGAAGCTTTTTCCACAGTCCATGCATTTATAGGGCTTCTCGCCTGTGTGGATCCTTCTATGTAATCTAAGATAACTTCTAAAAATAAAGCTCTTCCCACACTCCATGCATTTATAGGACTTCTCTCCTGTATGGATCCTTCTATGTGACTTTAGATAACATCTAAAAATAAAGCTCTTTCCACACTCCATGCATTTATAGGGCTTCTCGCCTGCGTGGGTCCTTTTTTGTGATGTACGGGACCCATTTTTGTGAGGAAGAGACAAGGTCCATTTGTAACTTTTTCCACTGTCTCTACATATATAATCTTCTCCTTTGGTTTGAGTTTGGCAGTATTTATTTACATTTAATTTCTTTATGAATAACTTTTTATGTTTTCCAATATATTTCTTTTTTATTTTCCTTTGTTGGAAGACAGAGGCTTTAGTTGGTGCATGAATAGAAAATGAATTTTTCCAATCGCAGTTATTTGACTGGTTTCTCTCATGGCTTTCTACTTCCATTAGATCTGTGGCGTTCTTCGTATTGTACCCACGAGTGATCACTTGGAGTAGTTCCCAGGAATCTTCATATTCCTCTCCATTACCTTCACAGGAAAATAAAAATAACTTTAGGGAAAAAGAGCAAAGAATAGGAAGTTTGAAAATAATGAAAAAACAAATTGCTCCAATCTTGTCAGAGAAGCCCTTCAAGAATTTGATCTGGATTTTCTTGATTAAAATTTTGGAAGATAAATCTAGCTTTGTATGGCTAGGGCAAAATCATAGATTAAATATCAAATTCTCCAAAATTCGAACGAAAGGGAAAAGTTTGGATTGCCTGATTTGAAATTGAAATTTGTAGTCTGCTACATAGTTTGGATAATAAACAGGAGTTGATCAGAATAAAGAGAATGTTATAATTACAATGAGGGGAAAAAATCTAGAAAAACACATTTCAAAAAAGATATAAATTGAATTGCATTTTAATAAGTGAAATAAATATTTGATCCCCTATCAAACTGCAAGCTTTCTGGTTCCCAGGTGTCTTTTATAGAGGTAACGAGCTGAGGATTTGGTTTTCCTGATTTGAAATTGGACTTTGCATGTCATGGATCTTTGTGATATGATAAATTTAGGCTAAATCCACAGCAGGGGTGTCAAACTGCTGGCCCGTGGGGTGGATGCGTCATGGCAAACCGCACCCACCCCATTGCCGGCAATGGCAAAAAAGCCACAATATGTCATGAGACATCACGTGATGTTGTGAGTTTGACACCCGATCTATAGTTTAAAACCATAATATTAGAAATACCACATTGAGAATATGAAACAGATATAAAATCAGGCTATGCCCCAAAACATCTTCATGACTGTCAGCACAGGAAAAGACAATGGATCACATGTCGAGAGCCATTAGAACTTGAGATGCAGGAATACCAAACTAAGTCAAGAATGGCAAAAGGATATAACTGTCAGTCGTTTTCATATTGTCAGAAAGATTCCAGGTAGATAAAGGGAACTATAGTGTTCAACAAGATAAAGCAGAATTCGAATCTCCGTTGTGTACAAACGATACGTAATTGTTAAAACCTTTAATCAGGCTGAGGAATATGAACAGAAAAATATTCAGAAGTGTATAAATGTACCTCAGACTAATATCGGAAATGTCGACAAGATAAAGGATCATTTTGGGTGGACTTGTAAAAAAGCTAGAAAAGTTTGTATTCAAAGACATTCACTGATACTGAGAACTTTAAAGATTAATATCCAACTGTAATCAGAAGACCTTATGCTGGCACTAAGCAACAGTCATTGAAGATTGTCTCTGAGTATGATAACTGTAATGAGACTTTTATACACAAAAAACTGGAAGGGCTCTTAACCAAAGAGGTCACGTTCCTATGATTTTCCAGCATGACTTCCCAATGCAGCGCTTTTTGGTCGGCATCCAGTTGAGACCACTCCTCTTCAGAGAAATACACAGCCACCTCCTTAAAGGACACAAGGCCATTCTGAATGACAAGAAAACAGAACAAAAACAGGGAAGATTTTAAAGACAAACAAAGATGTACATTTCAGGCCATTCAGTGAAAGGAATCCCACTTGTCGTCTGGATTGTTTGGTCCCAAATTCTAGGCACAAATTGGAATATTAGAAATTCCTCTAAAGGATGAAGGGCCTTGATCTGCCCACCCCCTTTGATTTTAACAATCTCTTCATCTTTTAACCTGGTGCCATTATTTTTCTTATCACTGGCTATAAACAAGGCGTTTTAGAAGCTGTAAGGTGCCAATGTGATTCCTTTCGTTATTATTGAGTAGCCTTGCACAATTCCACTTCAAAGAATTAATAAAAGAATCACTATTCAGCAAACACTAACACTGAAAATGTTATTTCTTATCATCTCTTACTTGAGTTGGAGTTTCAACCACTCTTTCAGCATCACCATAAAAAGGAGTCAAATTCGTTCTATTCTTCCCTGTGAGGGAGACAGAATTTTTAAATGGATAATTAATAAAATAGCAGAAGGCATTCTACAGAAGAGAAGAGATAGAGAATGTAAGACAGCTGGGACCTCTCTTGGGAAAGGGTGGAACTTTTGATTACCATCTGAGATGTCCTGAGTTGCGGATTCCTGATAGATCCTCCTGGAAAACCGCTCCTGATGAGTATTTGATGGATTCCTCCTCATAGGATCTCTGGTTTGCAGAATGAAAGACTTGAAATAGGAGGCAGGAGAAAAGAAAAGAAAAATAAATAAGATATCACAAAACATGAAGCGGATTCTTCTTCTATAGAAACAATATCTCTCAATGAGGCTAGAATGTAAGAAAGAAACAACTTGTCAGAATCCAATTATATTTCATCTTTAAATTATCAAATATAGAAACTCCCAATTCTGCCTTCTCTGGATTCTGCCATAAGAGGGAGAGAAGGGGGAGAACAAAGGGGCTTTATGGCCCTCACTTCCTTCCTTACACTTCAAAGAGCTGAATGCTGAATGTGTGTTTATTGTAACCTCGAAGCGTTAACATACCAAAGGAGGGTAGTTGCCTTTCATGTAGTTATCTGAAGTCCCCATGCAGACGGAAGAAAGAAGAAAGGGGGTGGAATTGTGATACTTGAAACTATCACTGGAAGGGGGGTTGATTGGGTGGGACTACTGGGGAACCCCTTAAAACCTTGAATGGAAGAGCTTGAACCCCAAGTCCTGTCTAGCATGCCTGCAAACATTTTCTCTTAATAAAGGATTCCTGTTGGAAGAATTATTCCAAGAGTTCTGTCTTCTTAAGATGCAAAGTGGGGTGGGTCCTTACATTAGACAGGACTTGCAAAATTAATCCACCTGGAAGGGAGACCCTTGCCGGGGGATTTTGCAAAAAATTTACCATGTCAGACAATGGAGAAAGAGAGGGGGAAAACTCCCTGGAAAGAGAGCCGCTGACCCAGTTGGAACCTTGCCAGATGTTGGGATCTGAGAGGTCAGATTCCTCGGGAGAAGAAGTGGTGGAGACACAAGACCACAAGCCTCGCTGGTCGATGAACGTTGGAAAGAAAAGTGAGTGGAGAAAGGAATCAAGAAAGGTGACCCTGAGACGGGGGACCAAACAACCAGAATGGAAGCAGGAGATGGAGAAATCCCTGCACGCAAGTGAAGAGGGAGGAAGCTGGGTACCGTACTCAGACTGGATCCTAGAGAAAGCTATTGACCTGATGAAGAGAACTCTCAGCTCCCTAGGAGAGGAGAACACTGAGCCCTACGGCCGCCCCAGTTCCTGGAGCCACAAAGGGAGAGACACCGAGGGGGACGTGGAACCTGCAACCCCAGGGACATCTACTGATCCAGGAGCCCCCACCCCCTACCGGACCACAGATGGCAATCTGGACGGAAGACACTACCACCCACAACGGAGGCACCGATCCATTCCAAGACGTTCACCGTTGGAGGTGAAATTCAAAGGGGAGCCAACACGCTTGGGGTTTTTCCTAACCCAAGTACTCAGCTACATGGAGGAATATGGGCAGGACATTCCCAGCGACAAAGCCCGCATCCGGATCGTGCAATCTGCCCTGGATGGACCAGCTGCGGATTGGGTAGTGAACTTGCATGACTCCAATGCCCCAGAACTCAGTAACTTCAACCGTTTCATGTCCTCTTTGAGAAGACGATTTGAAGACCCCCTGGCTGATCGCAAAGCCCGTGAAAGAATAACAACGATGAGGCAGGGCAAACGCCCAGTGGCCGAGTATACACAAGAATTCCGGGCCATTGCCAGCAAACTGAATTGGCCAGAAGACATCCTCCTTGGCCATTTCAAAGACGGACTAAACTATGATCTATATGATGCTTGCCTGCCCCGAGGGGACCCACATCGACTTGAGGAATGGTACGTCTTGGCAGAGGAAGCAGAGATCGACATATTGAAGAGGCACCGCCGAAGAAAACAATGGAGCCGCCCCCCGCCTGAGCTGACACACCAACCGGTGAAATCATCGGATACAGCCAAGAAGCAAATGGGGTGTTTCAAGTGCGGAAGAGAAGGGCATCGAGCTGTAGAATGCCGCTCAAAGGCCCCCCAGCACAACCCAGACAGATCCCCAATCAACAAACCCAGAGGGTATTCAGCTAAGCCAAAAGAAACAGCCATGAAAATGATGGAAATTGCAGAAACCCCCACCTCTGCTCACCAAGGGGAAAGAACTCCAGCCTACACCACAGGGACGGTGGATGCCTCAGATGACAGCTCGGAGGGCGAACCCCTGGTAAGTGGATGTATCACACCCATCTTCAAAACAGTGAGTATATTAATCCCCCCCATGCCCGAAGCTGTGAAGGTGAAAGCCTTAATAGACTCTGGCTGCACCCGCTGTCTCATTAGCCCAACACTCGTGGGGAATCTGGGCATCCCATCCAGGAGACTGGAACAACCAATCTCATTTGGCCAGCTAGATGGATCCATAGCAGGGGGGGTGCCAGCTACCCTAGCCACTCTGCCAATACACCTCTCCCTGGGCAACCATGAAGAGGACTTAACGTTTGTGGTGACCCCAGGTATGGAATGCCCAATGATTCTAGGGATGGAATGGTTGAAAAAATGGAACCCCTGGGTAAATTGGAGGACGACAGAAATCAAATTCCCGAAGGGGGACCCTATGGACTTAAAACCCCAAGGGAGGCTACCAGAATCAAGAATAGAAAAAGCATCCATAGGAGAGGAAAAAAGATTAACAGAAATACCAGAGGAATATAGGGACCTTGCTGAAGTCTTCAGTGAGGAGAGGGCGAATGAGCTTCCCCCCCACCGACCCACAGACTGTACCATTGAATTCAAGCCTGGGGCAAAACTCCCGAAGCCCAGATTATACTCCATGAGCCCAAAGGAGAAGGAGGAAATGGAAAGATTTATAAAAAAAAACCTGGAGAGAGGTTTCATTGAGCCAGCCAAGCCTAAAGTGGCTGCCCCGGTCCTTTTTAGAGAGAAGAAGGATGGCTCTTTACGTTTATGCGTGGATTATAGGGCCCTGAATACAATCAGTGAAAGCAACCTATACCCGCTGCCCCTCATGAAAGACATGCTGTCACACCTATCGAAAGGGAAAATTTTTTCTAAACTAGACTTAAGGGAAGCTTACTATCGCGTGAGAATCAAGGAAGGGGACGAATGGAAGACTGCATTTAACTGCCCCATGGGGTGCTATCAATTCAAAGTCTTGCCATTTGGATTACAAGGGGGCCCTGCAGTCTTTATGCAATTAATCAATGACGTTCTAAGGGAGCACCTATTTAAGGGGGTCCTTGTTTACTTGGACGACATTCTTATCTTTACTGAAACAAAAGAAGAACACGTCAAACTTGTCAGAGCGGTTTTAAAGAAGCTGCGAGCCGCTCACCTATATGCCAAACTCTCAAAATGCGAATTCCACCAGGAAAGGATAGACTACCTAGGCTATCGCATATCCCCACAGGGCATTGAAATGGACCCAGAGAAGGTCAAAGCAGTACTAAATTGGGCACCACCCCGCACAAGAAAGCAACTACAAAGTTTCCTGGGCTTTGCAAATTTTTACCGCCAATTCATCCCCTCATTTGCACAGATAGCCTTGCCCCTCACTAACTTACTAAAAACGAAGGGAACATCCTCAGTAAAACCTAGCCAGCCACTAACATGGACAATGGAGTGCCAAGCAGCTTTTGAGAGACTAAAGAGACTTTTTTCTGCCGAACCACTACTAAGGCACCCAGACATGGACAAGCCCTTCATAATACAGGCAGATGCAAGTGATGTGGCAGTGGAGGCTGTGCTATTACAAGAAAATGATGATGCAGTATTGCAACCCTGTGCATATACATCCAAGAAACTCACGGAAACAGAACAGCGCTGGCCCGTATGGGAGAAGGAGGCTTATGGGATACGTTGGGCATTACTCACGTGGCGACAGTTCCTGGAAGGCAACAAAATCCCCTTCCAGGTGTGGACTGATCACAAAAATTTAGAAGCCCTGAAAACTCCCAGGAAACTCAATCCCAAACAAGCCCGCTGGTCCCAGCATTTTCACCAATTCCAATTTAAGCTCAAACATTTACCAGGAAGAAAGAACTTCCTGGCAGATGCACTATCTCGCATGCCCCAATATAACAGCGCACGAACCACAGACTCTAGACCAATAATGGCAGAGTCACAACTGGCAGCGCCAGTAACCACAAGAACCCAAGCCAAAATAAAACCACAACTGGACAGCCAAACTGGGATTGAATTCAGAAAAAGTTTGGAAACAGATGAATGGTTCCAGAAAAACAAACATGTGTGCACAATGAGAGACGGATTGCCTTGGGTAGGGGAAAAGTTATATATACCAACAACTCAAAGACTAACTTTCATGCACCTTTGCCATGACACAAAATCAGCAGGGCATTTTGGATTTGTAAAAACTTTACACTTAATTAAACGGCAATTTTGGTGGCCATCAATAAAAAAGGACATAGAAAGTTATGTTGCCAGCTGCCCAACCTGTGCATCAGCAAAGAGGTTGCAAGGGAAATCGCCAGGGCTATTACAACCAGTGGCAAGTCCCTCAGCCCCCTGGAGGGAAATAGCCATGGATTTTATAGTGGAATTGCCAGAAAGCAATGGGAATACTGTTATCTGGACAGTCACGGACCTATTTTCCAAACAGGTGCACTTTATCCCTTGCCAAAAAATTCCCACTGCAAAGGCCTTAGCAAAACTTTTCATCCAGCACATTTACAGATTGCACGGGGCACCCCAACGCATCATCTCTGATAGGGGAGTGCAATTTACGTCTGCATTTTGGAAGGAATTTTTATCCCTCTTAGGGACCACTCAGGGATTGACATCTAGCCACCACCCTCAAGGAGATGGACAAGCGGAACGCTGCCAGTCGGTACTTGAGCAATATTTGAGATGTTTTTTAAATTTCCAACAGAGTGATTGGACGGACTTACTTCCTTTTGCAGAAGTTGCCTACAATAATGCAGTCCACTCCAGCACAGGCTACACTCCTTTTCAAATAGCCAACGGTCAAAGTTTCAACCCTATGCCAGAGTTAACCCCAAAAGAACCAACGATCCCTTCACTGAAAGAATGGATGGAAAACCTACAAAACACCTGGCCAATAGTCAGAAAATCACTAGATGAAGCTAGGCGGGCATACAAAGCACAAGCCGATAAAAAAAGGGTTGAGCCTACACCATTCATTATAGGAGAAATGGTGTACTTATCTACAAAATACCTAAAGTCCCTACAGCCCTGTAAAAAACTTGGACCAAAATATATAGGACCTTTTCCAATTAAAAGAATCATAAATCCAGTAACAGTAGAATTAGAATTACCCAAAAACCTCAGGCAAATACACCCAATTTTTCATTGCAGCTTGCTGAAAAGAGAGCATCAGTCACATCTACGGCCAAAAATCCCCCCACCACCACCTCCACTCATGGTGGAGGGTGAACAACACTTCGAAATAAAGGAAATCCTTGATTCTAGGAGATATCATGGGGCAACTCAGTACCTAGTTGCCTGGAAACACCTACCTCCCTCACAAAATGAGTGGGTCCATAAACGTCATGTCAGAGCCCCGAAGCTATTGAAGAAGTTTCACACAGAGTATCCTAACAAGCCTGACTAAATTTTATACTTGTGTTTTCTTTCAGGTGGATCTCTCTTATTGTTAAGAGGGGCCGGATGTCAGAATCCAATTATATTTCATCTTTAAATTATCAAATATAGAAACTCCCAATTCTGCCTTCTCTGGATTCTGCCATAAGAGGGAGAGAAGGGGGAGAACAAAGGGGCTTTATGGCCCTCACTTCCTTCTTTACACTTCAAAGAGCTGAATGCTGAATGTGTGTTTATTGTAACCTCGAAGCGTTAACATACCAAAGGAGGGTAGTTGCCTTTCATGTAGTTATCTGAAGTCCCCATGCAGACGGAAGAAAGAAGAAAGGGGGTGGAATTGTGATACTTGAAACTATCACTGGAAGGGGGGTTGATTGGGTGGGACTACTGGGGAACCCCTTAAAACCTTGAATGGAAGAGCTTGAACCCCAAGTCCTGTCTAGCATGCCTGCAATCATTTTCTCTTAATAAAGGATTCCTGTTGGAAGAATTATTCCAAGAGTTCTGTCTTCTTAAGATGCAAAGTGGGGTGGGTCCTTACACAACTATCTCCAGTTTATCTTCTAGAATGGATAATGGAACCATGTCCTGCAAGAACTAGTGAAACATTGCCATATTATGAAGAGCAGAAAAGTAGGGAAGGGAGGGGTGAAAAATTCAAACACATTCTTCTGGATTTCAAAAATGAAGGTCTCTCACCTGAAATTCGATTTGTTCCTTCTGCTCCTCTGCCTGACTCATGAGGAAGCCTTCCGCCAGGGCCACCACTTGGGAGCTGGTCTCTGCTCCACACTCACGCAACCAGTTTTCCATCTGTGGGGGCAGAAGGGTCAGCAGCTGCTCCAGAACAAGCAGGTCCAACATTTGGGTTTTAGTGTGTTTTTCTAACATCAGCAACTGACTATAAAAGTTGTGGAGTCGGCTGCAAAGTCCTCGGGGACCTTCAGTCTTCTGGTATTGGATGTTTCTGAAGTTCCAGGGCTGAATCTCTGAACGGATGATGGTTTTATTCTCCAGCATCTTCTGCCCAGTTCTTGCCCAGATCTTCCCACAGCTGCCAGGCTCAACAGCAGAGGGGCCTTTTCCAGTTCCCTCACTTGCTAAGGGTTGTTTCTGCATCCTTTGTCTGTCCTGGAAGGAAATTCCAGATAGGTCGGAGGAATCTTGCGGATCTACAAACACCTTTCTATTCATAGGACTATTCCTGTAACTTCAGGATTGACCACAAAGGATATCCAGGCCCTTCGCCCAAGAGTTAACTTTTTGTTGTTAGGAAGGTTGTTGAGATGACTCTAGTTTCTGCATCTGGGATGGAAAAGAAAATAAATTCAAAGAATGAGAAGGTGGTGGACTTAACCACTGAACAACATTCATCTTCATGAAAGCAAAGACTCAACATCATCAGACTTGACCATTGGGCACTATCTAACAAAATGAAATTCAGTGGGGAAAAAAGTAGGTTCTACACAGGCAAGAAAAATCAAATGCAGATATATAGATGGTACTTCTCAATAGTGGTAACTGTAAGAGGGATTTCAGAGTCCTAGTGGACAATCACTTAACTATGAGCCAGCAGTGTGCTGCAGCTGCCAAACAAGCCAACAGAGTTCTAGGTTGTATTAACAGAGGAATGGAATCAAGATCACCTGAAATGTTAATACTACTTTACAATGCCTTGGTAAGGCCACACTTGGAATCCTGCATCCAGTTTTCGTTGCCACGATGTAAAAAAGGTTTTCAGACTCTAGAAACAGTGCAGAGAAGAGCAACAAAGAGGATTAGGGGACTTGAGGCTAGAACATATAAAGAACTGTTGCTTCTGAATTGGGTATGTCTAGCTTAATGAAGAGAAGGACCAGGGGTGACATGATCTCAGTGTTCTCAGGGGCTTCCACAAAGAAGAGGGAGTCAAGCTATTCTCCAAAGCACCTGAGGGCAGGACAACAAACAATGGATAAAAGGTAATCAAGGAGAGAAGCAACCTAGAACTAAGGAGAGATTTTCTGACCGTTAGAAGAATTAATCAGTGAAACAACTTGCCTCCAGAAGTTGAGAAAGCTTCCATTCTAGAAGTTTTTAAGAAGAGATTGGTCAACCTACGCTTAGGGTTCATAGAGATGCCAGAAGTCAAGGAGCTTAAGAAACTGGAATGGAATGCAGAATTTTGATTCATGTTTCTTCTGCTTCAGGTTGAGACATTTAGGCATTTTAGACATTAATTAAGGAAGTTCCTCACTCTTGTTTTTAAGTTTGCATGTGTGTAAGTAACTGGAGCCATAGAGAAGAGAAAAGGAGGAAGTTCCAAAAATGCTTTGACCCGAGAAAGAAAAGTTGTCAGGTGTCTTAGTGAGGAAAAGGAAGAAGACCGCTAACATGGAATAATACTGAGTGAAATGATCCTGGGAAGGAACAACATTCTAACGATGCCATGAAGGTTAAGTTCACATCTGATGAAATAACAAGGAAAGGACCCTGGCTTAGGATGCTCAATTCGTTTTTCAGTGCTGGCTTTCGGGGAACAAAGTCATACTATAACACGAAGGCTGCTTCACACAATTTGCCCTGACCCCAAACTGGTTAATCAACCGGACAGGAAAAGTTCACATGAAACACAGGGCTTGAAACAACACACTTTAAATGATGTTCACCCACCCTCTTAAGCCTGGAGGATCTGATCCTAGTTTATTCTTTTCTCCAGGAGGATTTCCGGCAATCCTTCCCCTCCCCCACCCGATGCAGAGGCTCCCCACTCCCTTCTGGCAATCCCCATTTCTCTCCTTGGCTCCCCCCTCCGCCCGGTCAAAGCATGGGAAAGGGCGGCAGGGGAACATGGGACCGCGGACTCCCACCCCGGGGGAAGACTTGGCCCGTCTCCACGCTCCCTTCCAGCGCGGGACCCCTTTGCACGGGCAGAGCCGCCACTCACGAGTCTCGTCGGGATCGGCGTCTCCGCAAGGCTTCCCGGCAGCCTCTGCGCCTCTCGCAAAAGCCCCGATCCAGGCTCACAGAGGGAGAAAGGAAACAGAAAGGGCAGACTTGGGCCAGAGGAATAGCGCGGCGCATGCTCAGTTCCCTACTGCAGCTGAGCGCGACCTCCGGTGGACTCTGTGCGAACTGACACAATTTTTTTCCGAAAGGGCGGGAAAGAGTAGAAAGCGGAGGGCAGGGATGATGGGTATGGGAGTAGGAGAGAAGGTTCCTTGCCCGAGAAAGGAGACGCCACGTCTCCAGAGGCGGCAGCTTCTCCATCTTCCTGTCCAGGAAGCGTATGTGAAGATGGAGAAAAATCTCCCTGGAGGATTTGAACTCGCTTCCCTCAAGAACAACTGCTCTGAAGGCTCTGCAGATATTGAAGAAAAAGGGCCAAGTCCTGTCAGAAACGCCCAGGCGGTTAGAAGATGAGGACCAGGAGCCTCTCTGGGAAACACAATTTTTGTCTTGCGGTTGTTGCAAACTCCAGCCTGAAGGGGAGGAAGATGGGACACAGGCAGGGAAGCCACAACCAAATTCTTGGCTCCAGGTGCCTCAGGATCACCAGGAAGGCCAAGAGGCTGCTTGTGTCCAAGGAAAGGATGAAGGGGAAAAAAAGCTGCTTCACAGTGGGGGAAAAGCTGAAACTAGTGGATGTTCCAGAAATTTTACCTCACAATGGAGGCTCCTTGGAGGACAAATGAAGAGGGAAGAAACCGAAGACTTTGTCTTTGAAACTGCCCTTGTCTTATGCCTGGACTTTTGCCTTGTAGACTTGCTGGGTAATCTATAGTCTGTTGTTCGTGGGACTGAGGGTGGAGCCTTACTGCTGCTGTAGAGCCATTTGTTGAACCATTCCCAAGAGAAATAAAGAACTGTAGAGAGCAGGCATGTCAAACTCACGACGTCACATGATGTCGTGCAATGTATCAGGATGGTTTTGCCATTGCCGGCAATGGAGTATTCCGATTCTGCATGACGCATCTGGCCCGTGGGCCAGCAGTTTGGTAACCCTGGTCTAGAGGCCTGCCTAACCGTTACCACCTGGGTCATAACAATAATAGTAATAATAATTATTATTATAATAATAAAGTTGGAAGGGACATTGGAGGTGTTCTAGTCCAACCCCTGCTCAGGTAAGAAACATTCAGAGAAACGGTTGTCTTAAAAACTTCCAGTGTTAGAGCATTCACAACTTTTAGAGGCAGGTTGTTCCACTGATTAATTGTACTTTCAGGAAATTTCTCCTTAATTCTAGATTGCTCCTCTTTGATTAGTTTCCATCCATAGAATTTAAGGTAACTGGGATGTCTCTAGACGAGCATGAATAAAAAAAAGTACAATAGTTTTTAAATTTTGTATGACTGCCACTCTGATTTCTATTTCTCTAATGAAAAATTTGGACAATAGCCGACAGAAAACTGGTATTGGTGCATTTCCTCCAGTTTGACAGAGAATCACCAGGGGTACTATTTGAATAAACTGCTTCAACCCAGCAGGAGCCTCTGAAACTCTGAACTTTGTCCCACACTCAGATCCTTCCCCCCAAAATTGCCTATTAGCAATTCTTAGGACTTTTATTATTGTACAGTAAGCAGATGTAAAGAAAACATTTTTCCCCGACAAACTTTTATTAGACATACTTAAATCCTCACTCCTTACTTGTAAAGTAATAGTAACTGCACTTTATTTTACTCTTCCTATTACCATGGCTTTGCAACTATGTCTATTTTACTTGATCTATATATTTTTATTTTTTCTATATATGAAAACCTTTGCACTCCTCTGTAGATTTGGCAAAGTACTTTTTCCAAAGGAACTGGGCTTTTTATTTTCTTGAAGAAATTTTTCTCCTTATCCAAGAAGCATCTTCAGTTCTGATGCTTCTTCAGAACAAAAGATGCTTCTTGGATAAGAAGCAAAACATCTTCAAGAAAACACAAAATCCAATTGCCTTTAGGAAAAGTATCTTTGGGACAACCATGACCTGGATGTCTGAGAATCTCCATAGGCATTTCTCAGGAGATTTTCCTCTCCCTTTCCCATGAATAATTTTTGGATTATTAGTGTTTTTTTTAATCACACACTTCAGAGGAAGTTCCCATTCTCATTTCTGCTATAGAGGAAGAATGGTTTAAAAGGATCCATTTTTATGAGGAACAGACAAGGTCCATTTGTAATTTTGTACATTCTCTCTACATATATAATCTCCTTTGGTTTGGGATTGATACTATTTATTTACATCTAATTTGTTTATTAATACCTTTATCTGTTTTCCAATATATTTGTTTTTTATTATTCCTTGTTGGGCCACAGAAACTTCAGTCGGGAAATGAACAGAAGATGAACTTTCCTGATTGCAATTATTTGACTGGTTTCTCTCATGGCTTTCTATTTCAGCTACAATTATAGGGTTCTTCATATTGTATCCACGAGTGATCACTTGGAATAGTTCCTTGGAATCTTCATTTTCCTCCCCATTATTACCTTCACAAGAAAAAAAAATGAAAATAACTTTAGGGAAAAACAGCAAAGCATACGAATTTGAATATAATGCTTCAATCTTTTTAGATGCAGAGAAGCCCTTCAAGAAATTGATCCATACTTTCTTGATTAAAATTTTGGAAGGGTAAGTCTAGCTTTGTATAGCAAGGGAAAAACCATAGATTAAATATCACTGTATTATTATTATTATTGTTGATGTTATATAAACTCAGGCTGTGCCCCAAAACATCCTAATGGCTCTCAGCAGAAAGAAAAGCAGCAAGCAAAGACAATGGATCACATGTCAAGAGCCATTAGAACTTGAGCTGTGGGAATACCAAATTAAGTCAAGAATGGAAAAAAATATAGTTTTCATATTATCAAAAAGATTCTAGTTAGATAAAATAATGCTTGTCGTGTCATGCCCAAAAAGAGTCGAGGTTGTAGTTGCTGCCAAAAATGCTTCAACAAAGTAGCGAGTGAAGGGTCTGAATACTTATGCCAATGTGTGATATTTTAATTTTTGTTTTTTAATCAATTCAGTACTGAATTGATACTGTTTTCACTTTGTCATTATGGGTAGATTAATGATAAAGTAAATGAATTTCAACAGCTGTAAATCAGACTGCAGCAAAACTTAATTGGCAAAAGTGAGGGATGTTTGAATACTTTCTGAATGCACTGTAATTGTCAGTAGTTTTCAACTTATCAGAAAAATTTCAGGTAAAGGGAACTATAATATCCAATAACATAAAGCAGAATTTGAATCTTACTGTAAGGACCCACCCTACCCAATCACCCCCTTCTTCCAGCGACAGTCTCAGGCATTACACTCCCACCCCCTTTTCCTTATTCCGGCTGGAGGGAGATTTCAGAGAGGAGTACATGAAAGGTAATACCCCCATTGTTATGGTTAGTCCTGTTGGTGATATCCACATCCAGTCCCTTTGAAGTGTACTGAAGGAAGTGAGGGCCATAAAGCCCTTTTGTTCACCCCCTTCCCTTCATCCTATGACAGAATCCAGAGAGGGCAGAAATGGGGTTTTCTATAGTTGATAAATAGAGATGAAATATAATTGGATTCTGACACTTACTTGTGTAGAAAAGATGAATTTGTAATTGCTAAAACCTCTAAACAGGCTGAGGAATGTGAAAATGAACAGAAAAAAATTCAGAAGTGTATAAATGTACCTCAAGCTTATATTGGCAATGTGGACAAGATAAAGGATCATTTTGTCGTGCTCTAGTGGACTTGTAAAAAAGCTAGAAAAGTTTGGGGTCAACGATATTCAGTGATACAGAGAACTTTAAAGATTAATATCCAGCTGAAATCGGAACACTTTATCTCGGCACTAATCAACAGTCATTGAAGATTTTTTCTGAGTATGATACCCATAATAATACTATTATACACAAAAAGCTGGAAGGGCTCTACATAATTAGAATAGTGGAATGGTTGGGGAAGATGATAGAATTCTCAATGGTAATTAAATTGACTCTGATTAAGGAAAGGACAGTATATTAGTGATTGGAAACCACTGGACTTTTTACTAAAAAGAAAAAGAAAAATGAACTTTTTATCAAACTTTAGTTGAAGACTGGAAAAGATAAATGATGTAAAGGAGGAAACGGTGTAACCTTAGAAAGAGGGCACAAATTATAACATTATTTTGTCTTTTCTTTTCAATTTTATACTTTTTTCTTATTCGCTAATCCCATTACTCTATCTTCTTTATTTCCTCTTCAAAATTTGTATTGTTTTTATTCTGATAAAATTCCTTTAATAAAAGTATAATAATAATAAAAAGAAAGTGCTAATATATCTAATTACAGAATGTCTTCTGAAGACTCTGACTAGAGAGTAGCATATTCTTACCCAAAGAGGCCATGTTCCTATGATTTTCTAGCATGACTTCCCAATGCAGTGCTTTTTGGTCAGCATTTAGCTGAGACCACTCCTCTTCAGAGAAATACACAGTCACCTCCTTAAAGGACACAAGACCCTCCTGAATGAGAAGAAAACAGAAGAAAAATCAGAAAGATTTTCAAGATCTTTCCTATTGTTTAAGTAATTATAAGCAAAGATATATATTTCAGGCAAATCAGTAAAACTAATTTCACTTTTCATCAGGGTCTGTCTATCTATCCCCATCCATCAGCAAGACTTTCAGCATCTGGAGAGAATCAACTGGTATGGGCCTTGGAACCCCCACCCATCACTCACTCCCATACACCCAGTGGTTGCAGAAGAAAATACAGGTGGAGGGGTTCTTTTTACTACTTAAATAAAAGGCTTGTGGTGTCTCCAGAACAAATAATCTTATCCATGCTCAAAACCTTCATTAAAGTTGTTTGAGAGGTACCCAGGGATTTACATGGCTGTTATCAAGAGACAAATGGACACAAACCCTGTTTCTGCTGCTCCTCAGATCACAAGGAATCCACTGCTTGTACCCCAACCCAATGGCTGAAGAAGAGAAAGCTGCTTGGGAAGAGTATTTCTCATCCTTTCCAAAGCTGGATTCCAGGCACAAATTGCAGTATTAGAAATTCCTTTAAAGGCTGGAGGACATTGATCTGCCCACCCTCTTTGGATTTTAACAGTCTGCTTCATCTTTTAACCTGGTGCCATTATTTTTCTTATCGCTGGCTATGAACAAGGTGTTTTGGAAGGTGTAAGGTGCCAATGTGATTCTTTCCATTATTGCACAATTCTGTGCCAAAGAATAATAGAATTACTATTCAGAAAAAAACTAACATTGAGAAAATTTTGTTTTATTATACCTTTCTTACTTGACTTGGAGTTTTAACCACTCTTTCAGCACCACCATTAAAAGCAGTCAAATTCGTTCTATTCTTCCCTGTGAGGGAGAAATTTTAAATGGATAATTAATAAAATGGCAGGAGGCAATCAACAGAACAGGAGATATAGAAGATAAGACAGGTGGGACCTCTCTTGGGAATGGGTGGATTTTTGATTACCATCTGAGATGTCCTGACTTGCAGATTCCTGATAGATCCTCCTGAAAAACAGTTCCTGAGGGGGTTTGATGGATTCATGAGTCTCATAGGATCTCTGCTCTGCAGAGGGAAAGACTTGAATAAGACATTACACAACATGAAGTGGATTCTTGTTCTCTAAAAACAACAACAATGTCCCAATATCAATCAATGAGCCTAGAATGTAAGGAAGAAACAGCTATCTCCAGTCTATGTTCTAGCATGGATAATGGAACAATGTCCTGCAAGAACTAGTAAAACATATCCACATATTATGAAGATCAGAGAAGTAGGGAAGCGAGGGGTGAAAAATTCAAACACATTCTTCTGGACTTCAAACATGAAGGTCTTTCACCTGCAATTCGACTTGCTCCTTCTGCTCCTCTGCCTGACTCAGGAGGAAGCCTTCCGCCAGGGCCACCACTTGAGAGCTGGTCTCTGCTCCACACTCCTGCAACCAGTTTGCCATCTGGGGGGGCAGAAGGGCCAGCAGCTGCTGCAGAACAACCAGGTCCAACATTTGGGTTTTAGTGTGCTTTTCTAAGCTCAGCCACTGCCTATAAAAGTTGTGGAGTCGGCTGCAAAGTCCTCGGGGACCTTCAGTCTTCTGGTATTGGATGTTTCTGAAGTTCCAGGCTGAATTTCTGAACGGATGATGGTTTTCTTCTCCAGCATCTTCAGTTCTTGCCCAGATCTTCCCACAGCTGCCAGGCTCAACAGCAGAGGGGTCTTTTCCAGTTCCCTCACTTGCTAAGGGTTGTTTCTGCATTCTTTGTCTGTCCTGCAAAGAAATTCCAGATAGGTCGGAGGAATCTTGTGCATCTCCAAACACCTTTCAATTCATAGGACTATTCGGGTAACTGCAGAACTGACCAAAGGCTATTCAGGCCTCTTCATCCAAGGGTTAACTTTTTGTTATTAGAAGATTGTTGAGATGATTCTAGTTTCTGCATCTGGGATGGAAAAGAAAATAAATTGAAAAAATGAGAAGGTGGTGGACTTAACCACTGAACAACATTCATCCTCATGAAAGCAAAGCTGGTAAAGGATTGCAGTGGTATTGAGCAGATGGATCCTCTGGGTATTTGTGTTTCTGTCTCTCTATCAAGCGTGGTGCAAAATATGGTCCTAGCTTACATCAACACATGGAATATTTTATATTGGATTATAAAAGAAATGTTTTATATTTGGAGGATTTTCTATTTCCTTTTTCCCAAAGTGTAGGCTAGCTGTTTTTTAAATTTAAGATCATATATACCCTACACTTAAGGATCATACAAGATGCCAGAATTCAAGGAGCTTAATAAACTGGAATGGAATACAGAATTTTTACACGTTTCCCGTGCTTCATATTGAGGCATTTAGGCATTAGACATTCATTAAGGATGTTCCACACTCTTGTTTTTAACTTTGTATGGTTGTAAATAACTGGAGCCATAGAGAAGAGAGAAGGAGGAAGTTCCAAAAATGGCTCATCCCAAGAGAGAAAGGTTTATCTTTTGTCAGGGGTCTTAATGAGGAAAAGGAAAGAGACCCTAACATGGAATAATACTGAGGGCAATGATTCTGAGAAGGAACAACTTTCAAACGATGGCATAAAGGTTGTGTTCACATGAAATGCCAAGGAAATGATGCTGGTTTAGGATGCTCACTTTTTATTTTTTAGCACTTCCTTTTTGAGAACAAAGTCACACTACAACACAAAGGCTGCTTCACACAATTTGCCCTGACTCCAAACTGGTTAACCAACAGGACAGGCAAAGTTTGCATGAAACACAGGCTTGAAAGAACCTTACTTTAAGGCAGGGGTTTTCAAACTGTGCCTTTTTATGACTTGTGGACTTCAACTCCCATAATTCCTCAGCAGGCATGCTGGCTGGGGAATTCTGGGAGTTGAAGTCCACAAGTCATAAAAGAATCAAGTTTGAAGACCCCTGCGGTAAAGTGAAGTTCCCCCACCCTCTTAAGCGTGGAGGATCTGATCCTAGTTTATTTAAACACTAAAGATTTGCAGTTTACATATCCAAAATGGAAAACCAAAGAAAGTACCAGGAAAACAGGGTGTCTAATTTAACCAGCGAAAAATCATCCCGATCTTAAAAACCACTAAAGTCAGGGAAGAAAGTGGGGAATCCTCTTAGGTACTTTAACTTCTGTGCAGCTGGAGCATATTCAGAGGAATCCTTCTTGATCAACTTCTATCAAAAACTCAAAACACATTTAAAATATGTTCTGGGTTTCTGTTTCCTAGTTATTTATTCTAATGATTTCAAAAGAGAGTTAGGGTTATGAACAATCCTATAAACAATAAATGTCTCAAGTCACAAAACTGCAATTGAGATGAGATCTACAGCATATCAATCGATTTCATGAGAATATGAATCAACATTTGAACTTATAGTAATACTTTCGACCTCAGAACCCCATTAATCAATCTGGCCCAACCCCCTTTGAGAACTTCAGAAGCCTGAATTAACAAGCCACCATCCGATACACAGAGGAAACACCCGAATGAATGAACCATTGAGAGCCTAAGATGAGCTTCTGATTCATGCAACTCCGACAAACACGTTCCTCACGTCTTAGCCTAATCCACGCTTTTCCAAAGATGGACAAATGAAGATAAATATGGACTTCAACTCCCAGGCTTGAAAGAGGTTTGGGAAACAGCAGCCCAACCGGACATCGGGTGCGAATGATGCGTCTCCGCATTCTCTCCCTTCTTTGTCTCCCGGCAGAGCCCCTTGTAGGTCGTGGGGAGAGGCAAGGGAAGCAGCACCCCAGTCCCGGTCCTCCCACCCGGGGCCCCGGTCTTGCACCCAGAGCCGGCAGGGGGACTTCGGACCAGCTTCCCCCTCCCCCCCATGCCAGGTTCCCCCAGGAAATGGGGGGAAACAGCTGCTCCCTTCTGGCGACCCCCATTTCTCTCCTTTGCTCCCCCCTCCGCCCGGTCAAAGCAGGGGAAAGACCGGCAGGGCAACATGTGACCCCGGACTCCCACCTCGTGGAAAAACTTGGCCCGTCTCCACGCTCGCCTCCAGCGTGGGATCCCTTTGCACGGGAAGAGACGCCACCCACTGAACTCGGGAGTCTCGTCGGGATCACGTCTTGCAAGGCTTCGCGGCAGCATCTGCGCCTCCCGACCCTGGCTCATAGAGGGGGAGAGGAAGCACATAGGGCAGACACGCTTCAATCCTCTTCCATGGAAAGCCAAAGTCAACATGTGAGTTGTGGTAGTGGAAAAGCCCCGGGCATGCTCAGTTCCCTCCTGCAAGCTGAGCATGCCTCCTGGTGGACTCTGCGCGAAGTGCTAGGAATGCCCGAAAGGGCGGGAAAGAGGAGCGTAGGTGGTGGGACGGCAGGGATGATGGGCATGGGAGTAGGAGGAAACGTTCCTTGCCCGAGAAAGGCATCGGTGTCTCCAGAGACAGCAGCTTCTGTATCTTCCTGTCCAGGAACCGTCTGTGGAGATGGAGAAAAACCTCCAGGAGGATTTGAACCCGCTTCCCTCAAGAGCAGCCACCATGAAGGCTCTGCAGAGATTGGAGGAGGCCTCAAAGGGGCCCAAATCCTCTCAGAAATGCAGTCAGAAGATGAGGACCAGGAGCCTCTCTGGGAAACACAATTTGTGTCTTGCGGTTGTTGCGAACTCCAGCCTGAAGAGGAGTCAGATGGGACACATGTAGGGAAGCCGTAACATTAGACCCACCTTGTTTTATGGCCTGCTGTTTGTCTTGCCCCAGTCCTGAGGACTTTGCCTTCAAAACTGACCTTGTCTTATGCCTGGACATTTGCCTTGTGGACTTACCCGGTAATCTATGGGCTGTTGTTGGGGCTGAGGGTGGAGCCATACTGGCCGCTGGAGGGCCATTTGTTGAACCATTCCCCAGAGAAATAAAGAACTATCTAGAGCAGTGATGGCAAACCTTTTAGAGACCGAGTGCCCAAACCGCAACCCAAAATCCACTTATTTATTGTAAAGTGCCAGGGCCGTATCAGTATTCTGATGCCCTTGGGGAGGGCATGGCCCACTGGGTGGGAGTGGCTGTAGTGGTGATGGCAGACTGAGTGGGCATGGCCAGGGTGGACGTGGCCACATAGATGTTGCTTGTGGCAAGATGCCTGTGGGGGCTGGGCAGGATTGGGGGAAATCCAGAGGTAGGTGGGGCGCTGGGCAAGAGGCTCATCCTTTGGGTTGAGGCAGGGGGTAGGGCAGGGGTGCCATTGCTGCGGGGCAAGGCGAGGCCAGCGAGCATATGGGGGCGTGCTCTACCACCTCTACTTGAGCTTGCTAGCCATCTGCTTTATCTCCTTTGTGCTGTGTGGGGCTGCCGCTCCTGGCACCAGCGGTGGCCTAATGGACCTGCGGGAGCTGGCGGCGGCAGGTGTGCCCACAGAGAGGGCTCTGAGTGCCGCTTCTGGCGCATGTGCCATAGGTTCGCCACCACTGGTCTAGAGCAGCCATGTCAAACTGCCGGCCCACGGGCCAGATGCATCATGACGAAACCGCGGCCATCCCATTGCCTGCAATGGGGAAAAAGTTGCAATACGTTGCACAATGTCACAGGACGTCGTGAGTTTGACATGCCTGTCTAGAGGCTGCCTAGCTGTTACCATCTGGATCATGAAAGTAACAATAATAACAATAATAGAATTGGAAGGGTCTTCTAGTCCAATCCCCTGCTCAGGCAAGAAACCCTATACCACTTCAGACAAATGGTTGTCCAGTCTCTTCTTAAAAACTTCCAGTATTGGAGCATTCACAACTTCTGGAGGCAGGTTGCTCCACTGATTGTTCTAACTGTCAGGAAATTTATCCTTAGTTCTAGGTTGCTTTTGTCTTTGATTAGTTTCCATCCATTGCAGTAGAATTTAAGGTAACCAGGATGCATCTAGATCATAAATAAAAAGAAAAGTACAATGGTTTTCTAATTTTGTATGACTGCCACTCTGATTTCTATTTCTCTAATGAAAAATTTGGTCAATAACCAACAGGAAACTGGAACTGATGCATTTTCTCCATTTTGACAGAAAATCATCCAGGGGTACTATTTGAATAAACAGCTTCAACCAAGCAGGAGCCTCGGAAACTCTGAAATTTATCGCTCACCCAAATTGCCTATTAGCAATTATTAGGGCTTTTTTTATTATACAGTAAGCAGATGCAAAGACAGCATTTGTCTCTCCCCCCCCCCCGCAATAACTTTTATTAGACACACTTAAAACTCCCACTCCTTACTGTTAAAGTTAACCCTAAAGGCACCTTGCTTATTTTACTCTTCCTATTACCAGCTTTGCAATTACTTCTATCTTATTTGATCTATTTCTATCTCTGTCTTCTTTCTGTTTGCATATGAAAAGTCTTTTCACTCATCTGTAGTTTTGTCAAGAGGTCAAAAGGTGCTTTTTCAAAAGGCAACTGGACTATGTTCTTGGAGACATTTTGCTTCTTATCCAAGAAATATCTTCAATTCTGAAGATGGTTCTTCAGAACAGAAGATGCTTCTTGGATGAGAGGCAAAATGTCTTCAAGAAAATACAAAAAGATTAGCATCGTGGTGATGCAGGCGAGGGAAAGCAGGGCTCCACTTCTCACAGCTGATTTTGCTCTGCCAGGAAGCCCTAAAGGGGTCTAAAGTCACCCAAGAGAGGCGATAAAGAATGAAGGGACCCTTGATCATGGAAAGATGGTGGTTGATCCATTTGATCCAAGGAAAGCCCTCCAAACCGGCAGGGGAAAGACTATCTGCATTTATGGGCTAGTCCGAAGCTACTGGCTTCATGTGGCCAATGCAAAGAAAGAAAGCACTAATGAGCAGATTGTGAACATAATGTTTGGAACTGGGTGAGACTACTTGTCCTTTTTCTACTACTTTGCAACCTGATTCCATAGAAAAAAATAAATCCCCCAAAAGCAAGAAAGCCCCCAAACGCGAGAAGGGGATTTCTGCCC